GGACCGCCCATATAGGACCCTATTTCGGCGTTTTTACTGAGCTCTCTAGGATATTCGATGGGGGGAGGAGAACCAGAGCTCTCTGCGGTGGTCACCCGGCAGGCTGGAAAAGCGGCTGCGGAGGCAAAGGAAGGAGAGAGAGCAAAGAGAAAATGCCGAGTGACTCCCTCGCGACCCGTCCGAGTCTGCCGATGGACGGGACCCGTAACCCAGCGGACTTTCTTAGGGTCCCAGGCGAGCCCTCCCGCCCTCGCTCCAGCTGTTACCTGGCACCTCCTCCGTGCCCTCCATCAGCATATCCTTGGTGAAGTTTGAGATCTGGCCAGTGATGGAAGCCAGGCTGCCCCCTACTTGACCCAGGGACTGACCGAAGCCGGAGCCGAGGCCCCCGAACCAGGACGACATCGCTGCGGTGGGGCACCAGTCTACTCCAGATGTCCCTGACCGACAAAGCTGGTCCGGATCCAGACGCCGAGGACTAGGAGGACGCGGCACTCCCACCAGCCGCGGCGTCAAACAGCCGAGGCCCTGCCTGGCGCTTCACCGCGGCTTCACCACTGCGAACACTGCGGCCCCCGCGGGGCCTCTGCTCAGTCCCACGGCCTCCCGCCGCGGGGCTTGACCACTTCTCTCTCGGCTTTACCGACTTTGCTCAGTTTCGTGGGCCAGTCCTGCCAACTCAACGCCGGCCGCCACGACACCGCCGGGGAAGTAACAGTGGCTATAGAGATGCGTGGCGAAGGGATAGAAGGGCCGCTGCCAGATGCGTTCTGGGCGCGAAGGACGCTGGGATCGCGGAGGACCGAATGCGGGCCAGCCGGACCTGTGGCTTCTGCGGAACCCGCGGAACCGGCGGGACCTAACAGGCAGCGGCGGCTGTCTCCGCCTCCACAGCCGCTTTTGTTTGTGGGCGGAGGCAACCCTTGGCGGTCGCCTTCTTAATCCTGTCTCCGGGAGCTGTGGCACCCCTGGGAGACGATTGGACGGGGTGGTCCCACCGCTCAGGGACGCGACCTCAACCCATCCACATTACTTTATTATCCAGCCTCTGCGGATAATAGAATATCCGTGTCACAGGCTTGGAAACGCGGCTACGAAGCTGCAAAAGCGGGTTCCAATTCAAATGTCCACGCAGAAAACTTTGTTTTTTCAATTACCGTGTACTTTGGGACTTTGGAAATACCACCAGTATGTAGAATCCGATGACCTCCCTCCCCATACCGAATTATCTCTCCCTGAAATCTGAATAATTTCACTAGAAAAATCTATTTAGGTTCAGGCGGCACCTCCGAGGAGTTTTAGTTTCTGTGTCCTAGTGCAATGAATTGGACATGGACAGGTGGATAGGAGCAAGGAAGGCAAGAAAATGAATCGCGAAAAGAGCAAGAAGAAGCAGGTCGTAACATTGTCTATGGTGGTGGGGTTGATGAGCAACCTCTTCAGCTTGATTTGATTGACAACTTTTGGTCTCAAATCCAGAGACTTGTGCATGTTAGGCGTTTAGACTTTGCTGCATCCTCAGCCCTTGTTTGAGACAGGATCTTCTTTGACCCAGGTTGGCTTCCAACTCATGACCCTTCTGCTTCTACCTCCTGAATTACTGCAATTACAAGAAGAATGTGCCGTCATGCCCAGCACAATGTTTTTTAAATGTAGTGTACAAAATCCTCAAATGATTGACGTGCCTACTGGGGCATGAGAGGATAAACAGTCTGTAAGCCTATAAAGATTTCATCCTAATGGGAAGGCACACAGACAAGAGGTAGTGTTCCACAGGTGGTGATGACTGACGTTGGAGAGAAAAGCAAAACAGGGTAAGGATAGTACGGGCATGCCACGGTGAGAGCAGCACTGGTAATGTAGAAAATGGTTAAGGCCTCACTGATTGGGTAATCTTGCACAGAGACTTGAAGTAAGCAAGTGAGATATACGGATATACAGGGGGAAAGCAGTTTAGACAGGAAAATAAAGCGGGAGGATCCTGGTCAATGTTGAGAATTTATAGGAAGGCAAGAACGGCTTTGGGAGAATGGCTTGGGGAAGATGTGTGAGGACCCAGAAGGTATGAAGAAGGTTAAGTCACAAGGGCATGAGTGATGTCATAACTCATGTGTGAGTGATGACATGAACTCAGGACTTAGTTGGGTTCGTGAATGACTGAGAAGTTTAGCAACTGTCATTAAGCTCATTTTTCTGTATGTATAAATCCTCTAGAGCCCCACATCTGGCAGAACACAGTCCAAGAATGGAATCCTGTGAGAATTTCTGTGCGTGTGTGAGAAACCTCAAAAAAAAAAAAAAAAAAAAAAAAAAAACACACAAGAATCAGTGAACTCAGTTTTCTTGAAACCATGGAATTGTTCTTGGAATGTCCCTTCCAGGTAGCAGATAGAAGTGAGTTTACTTCAGATTATTCATTACAACTGAGTATTGTGATTTGTTTCTATGCCCTTTTGATTGAACACCTTACTCATGTGAGTCCTCTTAACCTTCAGAGTATGAATTGTCTGATGCTCTGAATAGACTTGGCTATTACATGAGACCTCAGTGCAGCTCATCTTTCTGCTTCATTCTCCCAGGCCCCAACACCTCTAGAGTGGTAAACCGTAAGTTCACATTGTGCTACGAAATTAATGTAATGAAGAAAATACAAGTTAAGCTTTTTGTTCCATTTATTAGTACAAATGTCATCATCTAAAACAGTGGTTTTCAACCTTCCAAACGCTGCAGACCTTTAATGTTGTGGTGACCCCTAAACATAAAATTATTTCATTGCTACTTCACAACTGTAATTTTACGATTGTTGTGAAATATCTGATAAGCGGGATATCTGGCATGGGACTCAAAAGGGACCCACAGGTTGAGAACCACTGCTCTAAAACATCCTTCTGGAAGACTTCCTCTTTTCTCATATATGATGAAGTATAGCCCAAGAGCTTTTATGTATTACCCTGATACGTAGCATGACCTGCCATGTTGGATATACTTTAAAATAATAGGAAGAGAGAACATGAGACAAGAATTGCCAAAAATTGGGCTCGAGAAATGGCTCAGTTAAGCTAAGTGCTTGCTTTACAGATATGAGGACCTGAGTTCCATCACCAGACCCAACATACAAAATATAAGTCATGGTAGCACATGTATGTGCCACAATGTATGTGTCCAAGAAAGGTCACTGGGGCTTGTTGTCCAGCGAGGCTAGTCTAACTGGCGAGCTCTAGGTCAACGAGATCCCCTCAGGCTTTCCTGTGGATGATATCTGAATTCTGGCCTCCACACAAACACACATAAATACATTAAAAAAAATTGTCAGAGGCCAGGCATGGTGGTGCACGCCTTTAATCCTAGCACTCAGGAGGCAGGTGGATCTCCATGAGCCCTGGGCCAGCCTGGTCTACACAGTAAGCTCAAAGCCAGCCTGAGTAACATGGTGAGACGTCTTAAAAAATAAAATTGTCAGAAATTAGTTATGATTGACATTGGGTTATGAGTGAGTACAAGCTGTTCATTGTATTAGTCTTGGTTCTACACAGGCTTGAATTTTTTTCTAGTAAAATTTAAAGCATGCCTTTGATAACATTTGAGTTTAAAATGCTGTTCTAGTTTTTCTGTTGCTGTGACAAATACTATGCCAAAAGCAAGTTGGACAAGGAAAAAGAGTTTATTTCATCTTACAACTCCCAGGTCACAAATCTATCACTGGGAAAAGTCTGGGCAGGAAGTCAAGGCAGGAACTGAAGCAGACATCATGGAGGAGTACTGCTCACTACCTCGTCTCAGGCTCACAGCTGGCTATTTATCTTCTATAGTACAGACCCACCTGCCTAGGGATGGTCTGGACCCTCAGGAACTGAGCCCAAACTGAACACTCCTAAATTACCTCGTCAGGCATTTTGTCAGTGGCAAAAAAGGCAACTAATAGATTGTATATACCCTGCTCATTGTATACATATATATGCCCTGCTATTGAGTCAGGCAGCATACTAAATATGTCCACTACAGTACAGGCCTGGAGACAACTCATATTCTGAATGAACAGTATGACTCATGGTTAAGAACCTAGAACAATGCATGGCCCATGGTAAGCACACAAATTGTTTACTGGATACTACATGACTTTCTCTATGGTGGCCCAAGAGACAAAGGGTGGCTAAGGTCCTTGGCACATGGTATGTAAGTAAGTAAGTAAGTAAGTAAGTAAATAAGTAAATAAGTAAGTAAATAAATAGAGGGCCTCAAAACAAAACAAACAGAAAAGCTAGCCAAAAAACAGCCAGGAATGGTAGCACACGCCTGTAATCCCAGAACTCTGGGAGACAGGGATGGTGGATTGCTGCAAGTTTGAGGCCAATCTGGTCTACAAAGTGAGTTCAAGACAGCCAAGGATACACAGAGAAACCCTGTCTCAGGGGGAGGGAGGTTGAAGCTAGAAAAGAATAGTAGTGCATGCCTGCAAACCCAGCACTCATGGTTCTAAAGCAGGCGATCCTGAATGTTCCAAGTCCATTAAGACTATACAATGTCTCAAAAGAACCCAAAAGAAGTTATTAATGTATTTTGTCCCTTGTAGTTAAGAAAAATTTAACAAATATTTAAAACCAGATTTCAAGGAAAAATGTGGAATTCTATTCTTAGAAAAGACCTGAGGAAAGGGTAGAGGTATAAAGGCCACTGAGTTCAATCTAATGAAACTTGTAGAAGGCTTGTGTGGCTGCAATGAGGTGATAATGTATTCTGACAGAAATCTGTGAGGGCTCCCTGGCCTGTTTGATGCATCACTGCAGCTGTGTAAAAACAAGCAACTCAAAAAAACAAAAACACCAAACAAAAAAACAAGCAACTCCACAGACAGTGCTTCTCCAAGGTCCTGGTAGAGGGGCTCTGAATGTGGTCTGAAACTACCTACCTTTGGGAAAAGCTTCCAAGAGACAGAGACGAAGCTGTACCCCCCACCAGACTTTGAATAGCAAGGTTAGGAACTGACAATAAAAACAGAAAGGTTAATAGAAAATCACTCTCTTTATTTAATAATCTCTGATATTTAAAATACAACTCATTAACATCCACACCTACAGAACCCTCAGTTCAACAGTGCTTTGGAAGCCCAGCTTTCGAAGGAGTAGACAGACGGAAGACCTGTGGAGTGGCAGCCGACAGTGAGGCACAGGAGGAAGGGCTGCAGAGTTGAGTCCTGAGGGACTGCACTGCCACAGTGCATCATAGTGACCAGAAGACAATGCCTTTTATTTCACGGCTTTTGCACTTGAGTTTCAAATATTTTGTTTATACAGAACAGCCATTTTTTAAAAAGTTATTCCTATTAGTCCAGTGTTGTAGAAATTAGATAATAACATTTCAAATGTCTGTCTTCCTCTAAAAAAACACAAATCATTAAAAAAAAAAAACTCCAGGGAATATACCACCTTTCAACTATGCAAGAGACGAGTGAGTGTTACCTAAAGAACTGCATTTTCCACACACTTTTCACTAGTGCTTCATCTAGGACTGCACTCTTATAACGTGTACTTAAAATGTGTACCTACATAAATTTAGGGAGTATATTTTTTGCACTAATTCTTAAAATGACAGACCATTTTAGAAAAAAATCCTCAAATTAATAAAAAAATATCCTTTTCATTTAAAGACTACAACAAAACTTTATTATGTATAAAACTCTGAAAAAATACAAAACCAATTTGCTCCTTTAACTAAATATAAACAAATTAGGAATGAAGGGAAAGTTTTTATTCTGAACATGAAAAACAGAAAAATGATCTATACTACTGATTAGCTAATGCAATCTGGCTTTCCTTAATTGAGGTCCCATATCAGAGCTCTACACTCGTTAGGGCAAAAATACAGCAAACAGTTCCCTTGAAAGTATTCCCCTAAGGCCCATCTAAACGTAGCTGACACTGTGAGCCTCTGTTCTCCCACTGCAGCATTAACGACTGAACCCAAGGCCTGGGCCACAAGGCAACTGCTCTCCCCGAGAACATCCCCACCGCCTCACAGGAAATTGCAATCAGAGGTCTCAGCAGCAAGTGAAACTCTCATAATTCAAAACTTCAACCTTTCCCAACCTAAGACTTTCAGACAGCACATTCTGCTTCTGCACTGCCCGATTCGGATGTGTGCAGGGCACAGGGGCCAGTTCTAAGAATTCAGTAACTCTTGGCACTGGCATCATTTAAAAATAGGATTAAACATGCAGGTATCTCAAAATATGTGGCTTAGACTTTCACTCAAATAAAATGTATTTCATCCAACTTGATATTAAATAAAACAATGCAGACTACTCATTTTGAGCATTCGTCCTCATTAACTTTGGCTTCATCAAGAAAAATCAAGTTTTCAGGGGGAGAAAAAGCACCATCTTAGATAGTCTGTGAACTAAAAATTATTTGGCCAAGGTCAAAGTTTAAGAGTTTACCCGCACTAACTGTATTAAACTATATCAGTGTTGCATACTACTGTCTTTGAGGACATAAATTTATGGTTTACACTACTCTAAATTTTTAAAATATAAGCTCATGACATCTCAAAATATGAAAGTCGTCTTTGAAAGTTTCTTTTTCTTTTTTAAAGACAGGGTCTCACTGTGAAGCTTTAGCAAGTTTGGAACTCACCATGTAAACCAGGCTGGCCTTGAACTCAGAGATCTGCCTGCCTCTGCCTCCCAGGCACTGGATTAAAGGTGCACAGCAGCACACCTGGCCCTCTGAAGTGCTGCTTGTAACACTAGCATCACAACTGTACATATTTTATCTGGTAGTTCCAGTTACACATTAGAAAAATGATACCAGTAGTTTAAATATTAAACAGTAAGATGTTCCCAATTGGTTAAAAACAGAATGTCAGTCAAGTCCATAGCACACAGTGACAGGGGGTTTCCTTGCCCTGTCTGTCCTGCAGTGCTGTACAGTAAACGTCAGCTCCTGGCGTACGAACCAGAGCTTCACAGGACTCTTACACTTTTGGATACTGTGTTTATAATAAGCATTGGCATCTTTCATACTGGCTACTTATTAATAATGAAATCTAAACATTTAGGTAAGCCTAGGTCAATCCAAAGGAGAAGGCAGTTCAATGGTGATTTTGGATTTGCCTTGCCAATCCAAACTAAAAAAAAATTTTTTAAAGAAATTTAAGAAAAAAGCACTCAAAAGATATTCAGTGAATGCTCAGCTTCTCTTTAAAAAAGTCTCTAAGAAAATATCAACATGCTGTATTTCATAAGAGATTTAGGGTGTATTATATGAAAGTTGTATAAACGCTAAAATTAAAACTGAAATGCATATTCGCTTTATCATTTTTCTATCAGGCAGCTCATCCATCTAACCGCATGGAAAGTTTGATGTGATTTTTCAGAGGGGAAAAGGAAAGAGCCCATGTCCAGACAATGTGACTGGCACCCTAGGGCAGTTACATGCCACTCAACTGTGAATGGTTAAGACAAGTCCTAACTCTAACACCCCTAGAGCTGCCCAATTCTCTTGAACCTTTGCACTGACTAAAAAAAAACTTCACAGATTTTAAAACAGGACTGCCTAATTTTTCATAAAGCAAATTCCAAAAAAGTTAATTGGCACACAATGACTAAAACAAAACAAAAAAACGACAGAACACCTGTTTTGGGTCTGGGAATATAGCTCAGAGGTAAGAGTGCTTGCCTAAGCACACAAGGCCCTGAGATCCATCCCTAGCATAGCCAAAAGAAACAAAACAATCCACCCTAGCCAACAAAAAGCTGTTTCATAATCATAAAGAAAAATATCTGTATCTTTTTCAGTTAGACAGCAAAAGTCCTCCATCAAAAACCTTTCCCTGATAAAACGTGTGCAGAACACACACCAGTAGAGCAGTAAACCATGCTTCACCCTCCCAAGCTGTTGGCTAAAATTTCTTCTTGGACTTGACCTATGTACAAGTCAACATTCAAAAGGGCTTCAAAAGGGGATAGGAAGGGAGAGAAGGAGAGTAGATATGAGGCTATGATACCCATTACAAAGATACATAGTTCATCTCCACCAAAATCATAACAAAGTATTAACCCACAAAACTCTCTGTGCATCCCAATTAAAGAATGTTTATCAAAACTATGGACTTTTCTTATTTATAGACAGACCCTGTAAGCACTGTTAGTTCTGTCTTTTGTTTGTTTTGTTTGTTTTTGGCTTTTTTGAGACAGGGTTTCTCTGTGTAGCCTTGGCTGTCCTGGACTCACTTTGTAAACCAGGCTGGCCTCAAACTCACAGAGATCTGCCTGCCTCTGCCTCCCCATGTGCTGGGATTACAGGCATGCACCACTATGCCTGGCTACTTTTGTAATTCTTAAGCAATTTAAACATGATTGCAAGAGTCAACCCACAGTATATTTAAATATATTTTCATTTACTTTCACATTCCAGACCACCATCCTGCATCCTGGCAGGCTATATTCTACTTAAAAAAATAAAAAAACAGTAAAGCAGGCATCTATTTTCCAGGACTTAATTGTTAATAGAACAAACACAGAACTCCTGTCACAGAAGAAAACCTAAGAGAAACCCACCACCGACACAGAGGGGCAGGTCTCTCCTGTGGTGCAGTCAGGTGTGTGTTAAGCTGTAACATGCTTGTGTCCTGGGCCTCTCCTTTCCTCAGCTGGGGACAAAAAGAGAACAAGGTGCAGAGAGGATTACAGAAGTCAACCAGAACACAACGGAAAGCCTTCACAGAACAACCAGAAAGCACATGCTCACACAGACCCAGTTCATGTATACTCAAATACTCAAGTAGAGCTGACATCAGAGTAGAGCAATGCACCAAAGACATAATGATTCCACTAAAGAAGGCTTAGCAAACAACAGATTTACCATGTTAAGAGTTGCGGGAGAATAACCAAAACCAAGGAAAATAACATCCAAGTGCCCCACATACATATAAGAAGACAGATTTATCTTTCTGAACAAGACAAACAAAAGACATTTCCATAAAAGGTTAGTCTAATTAATAAGAAATAAAAGCTCAGGTAAGCCAAGCCACCTCCAACGAAGAGAGAAAATGAAAACAAAACAAGATCAAGTTCTGTGGCAAGAGCTAATTAGTTGGTCCGCAAAGAGCCAAGAAAAATTCCGTAGTTTCAGTTAGATATTGCACACTTAAAAAATAAGGGACAGTTAGAAAACTACCTTAAGTTTCTTTAATTGCTGACTGCCTCTTCGGCTAGTATGTGAATCATGTTTTAGTCCTATGACACGTCTCTGGCTTTCTGATCATTCGCTCATAAATCACTGAGGTGTCTTTATCTCTTCTGGCGAACATACTGCCAAAAGGGACCTTACACTGTAATCACACAGACAATGTCAGGAAGTATGAGTAGCAAAATGATTTTTAAAGGTGCTATTTTTTTCTTTCCACTTTCAAACTATCCTTAGCAGTTTCTAAAGCCATGGTCACAGCGGCCCGAAGCATGTCTTCTTCACTCAGAGAATCACCTGCTGGGAAAGACGACAAAGTTATCAGAAAAAAAAATCCTGGAAGGTTCTCAATCATCACAAGGCTGACCTCTGAACTAGAGGCATAGCTAAATTGGTAGGGCACTTGTCTAGCGTGCACAAGGCCCTAGGTTCAATACCTAGCATGGCATAAAAGGAGGCATGGAAACATAGTCCTGTAATCCTAGCACTCAAGAGATGGAGGCAGGGGAATCAGAAGTTCACGGCTGTTCTTGACTATGTAACATTTGAAGTTACCCTGAGCCACATGAAACCTGTCCAAAATGAAAAAAAAAAGCAAATTCTTAGATAATATATTTCTACTTGAACACTAGTTAATTCTTTAAAAAGACTTTGTTAGCTGTGTATAAATCTGCGGGCACGGTGTGCCATGAGTGTGCAGAGGTCAGAGGGCACATAGGCAGAGGTAGTGCCCTCCTTATCATGAGGGTTCTGATTATTGGAATCAGGTTGTCAAATTTGGCACCTTTATCCACTGAGCCACCTTCCTGGCCCTAGCTTTCTTTTTATGACTTTATAATTCACATGGTGTTTGTGTGGCACTTTAAGATCCACAAATGGACAGAGAACATGTTAAGACATCCACCTTCTCTACTGCTGCCCCCATCCAGTTCCTCTGCGGTCAGCCCAAAGCCCAGGAAGATGTGTTCACTGTTCTGTCCTTCTAACAAGTCATGATAATGGTCTCACATGATAAATATGACCTTCTGAATCTAGATTTTTCATTTATCATAATGCATTTGACATTTACTGTGTTTACTAACAATTAGAAAACCTTTCTATTTGTAAACAGTTAAATTCAGAGAAAGCTGCAAAGACAGGGCTCCTGTGGGCCTCTCAGCTCAATTTCACCCAACACTACTTCTTCTATAACTAAATCTCAAACAGACTGTAGCACAATGTGGTTCTATATGGCTTTACATGGCTTTAAAGTAACTTTTTGTGTTTGTTTGTTTGTTGAAGACAGGGTCTTGACAGGCAGTAGTGGTGCACACCTTTAGTCCCAGCACTTGGGAGGCAGAGGCAGGAGGATCCTTGTGAGTTTGAGGTCAGCCTGGTCTAGAGAACAAGCTCCAGGACAGCCAAAGCTGTTACACAGAGAAACCCTGTCTCAAAAATGAAACAAAAAACAGACAAAAACAGTCTCACTGTGTACCTGCCCAGGTGGCTTCACACCCACAGTCCTCTTACCTTAGCCCAAGTGTTGAGATTTCAGGCATGCCCAGCCTAATGTGGCATTTCATCACAGATGTAAACTACATCACCATCACCACCACCACGACTAGAGGGCCGGTGAGCATGAGTAAGTTGTGGGGAAGCGATGATGTCCTGCCTGAATGTGTATTATTTACATGAACACAGCCATGCCTAGGACCCTAATGTTTCAGACACATGGGGATAGCAAGTCCTTCCCTGGGAAAGGCTCAGAGGGATGTTCCTCTGGTCCAAGAGAAATATCAAAGCCTTCTCCTAGGCCAAGCTGGGGTGCTAGCCATTAGCTGAAAGCACGTGAACAGAAACTACCAATGCAGCTTCCTCTGGAGGACTGCAAGCGGAGACTGTTCCTGGCAGACACCTGCTAACATTAGTTTCCTGCACTACTCCACCCCCCCCACCCCCCCGTGTGCTCAGGCCTCCTCCTCTTCTATGTTACATTTGGGAGTTTTAGAATGCTATACAAATAGCTCCTTGGCTTGAAACCTTTCCAGACTGTCTTGGACCTGGTATACTGACCCTGATGTCCACCTCAGATGCTACATGCATTAACAATTGGCTGCTGTTTAATCCTGTTTAATCCTCTACGGAATGAACTACTACAATTCCCTTCACAACTCATTTACCTAATGTATACTTGTCTCCAGATTTCGATTAAGACCACTAAAATACCTATGAACATCTGTTTGTATACTTTTGTGTTGACATACATTTTTATATCTTTGGCATAAGTACCCACAGTGTAATTGTTGGGTCATATGGTCAGTATATATTCAGCTTGTTTGCTTTCTCAAGACAGGCTCTCACTATGTAGCCTTGGGCTGTCCTAGAACTCACTATATAGAGTAGGCTGGCCTTGAACCCCTGGAAATCCACCTGCTTCTGCCTCCGGGGTGCCAGGAATACACACAGGACTTTAAGAAACAGCTGAATTGCTTTCTGAAGTGGCTGAATGGAGAAGTGCAACAGAGAAAGTTTGGCTCACTTTCTGTCCTTTAACCTCCCTCTTCATAGCCACCCAAAATGCAACCAAAACCAGATGAGTGCTACAATTTTTGTTTCAACCATCAAATACAATTCAGAAAATTCAAAAGGAGGGAATTATAGTTATCATCTTTCATTCTTCCTGTTCTTGTCAAACAGCACTTCATTTCTTTTCTGTTTTGAGAACTTTCTTTAATTTTTAATTTAAAATATTCTTTTCTATAGAATATACTCTGATCAATTTCCCTTCCCTCATCTCCTCTGAGATCCTCCCCTTTCTTACCCACCCAACTTCGTTCTCTTTAGAAAAGTAGTAGCTTAAAAAAAATACAAACCAGAACAGAACAAAGGAAATAGAGAAAAAAAAAGCATAGAAGTATACTTGCAGAGACACACATGCACACACAAAACCCATAAAACACAAAATCAGAAACTGTAACAGATAAGCAAAAGACCAGTAAGGTTAAAACAAAAATGAAGTATTACAAAACAGAAAAAGTATTATGAGACAAAAAATCTTAACAAAACAGAACAAAACTGAGTTTGTTTTGAGTTGGCCACCTACTTCTGGGCATTGGGCCCACCCTTGAACGTGATTAATATACCCTGGGAGACTCCACTGGGGAACACTAATTTTCCTTTGAGAGCAGCTGTCAACTGGAGACAGCTTCTGAGTTACCGAAGGGAAGTCATGTCCCCGTTAGTGCTAAGACCTCCTGAGGCTGGGAGCTGAGCATGCTGCCTCCACCTTTTAGCTCACACATGCATCACGCTGTATCTGGAAGGCATTGTTTCCCTGCTGTCTTCCATCCCCACCGGCTCTGATCATCTTCCTACCGCTTCTTCCTCAAAGTTCCTGGCGGCCTGAGGGCAGGGTTTGATAGAGACATCCATTTAGGACTGGGTAGCCCAAGGCCTCACACTGCGCACTGCCCAGTTGTGGGACTCTGTGTTTGTTCCCATCCACTACCGGTGTAAGCTTCTCTGGGCATGGCTGAGTGAAACACTGATCTGCTTTCCAGGCCTGCATGGACACCCCTTTTCTCTAGCTTTTAAGACTAGGACTGCTAGAGACTTTTTAAAAACATTTTTTTCAATCCTAATGAGTATGGAATTACTGCATATGTAATCCTGGGTTTAAGTTTTTCCTTCAGCATTGGAAACACGTGATCCACTCCTTCAGCAATAAGAAAGCTCTCATTTCAAACTGTTGTTGGAAAGGTTATTTCTTGCTGATTTGGGGTTGTGCTTTAAGTGTTCTGAAGTCAATGAATCTTCTTGGTAGGTATTTTTGTGTGTTTATACTAAATTGAAGTTCATTCAGCTTCTTCAGTCTGTAGGTTTCTCGTGTTTTGCCAGAATGAGATGATGAAAAGATCAACCTTTCCCACCACCTCTTCCCTGTCTCTTTAGGAGACTCCTGTGAGTTAGAGGTGGGGTTGCAGAGTCACAGCCTCCTGCGCTGTTTATTGTTCATAGTCAGTTTTCTGTGCTGAGGAGGAAAAGAAGGAATTTCCACACTGAGTCCATTCACTGAGGTTTCACATCTAAGTTATTTTTCTGCTCTAGAATTTGTATGTGAAATCCAGCTGTGGCAGCAGATGACTATAATCTTAGCACAAGGGCAGAAGCAGGACAATGGTGAATTTTAAGCCAGTCTGGGCTAGATAGTGAGACTCTGCCTGAAAAAAAATTAATGATTAAAATTGTCCATGTGGTTCCTTCTTTCTCAGTTCTTGGCCTGACAGTGGTTTTCAAATGGGTAGTTGAGTACTGTCAAATTGCAACTCATAATGATGTCTTTGTTTTTGTGAGCCTCTTCTGACAGAGGTATCTGTGTGGGGTATGTATACATTGACTGCAGTGGCCAAGTCCAGCAGAGGTGTCAAAGCCATCTACAGCTGGAGTGAGAGGATTTTTATATAATATGCTCTCTAGTGCAAGGCACATCTTGTATCAACAATTCCTTGATAAGTTTATTGACTGTTTTCATACTGTACCATTCTGAGAGCTCTGCACAGATTCTCTGTGAAGTTCTCAGACAGGGTTTCTTCTCCACTCAACTTTTACAAATACCTGGCTCACATTTAAGACCTATTAAATCAAGGTGTGGTGAGTAACCTGGACTTTTAGATATTACCTAGACTACACAACAGTATGTTTTCCTTTACTAGGTCATGAGATGTATTCATTTTCCATATACTAATATTCATTACCTCTGAATCATCACGTTTTTTGAAGAATGTGCCAACTGTGAAGTTCAAGTACTATATATGTGATTTTTAAAACCAACCAGGCCATGGTGGTGCTTGCCTGTCATATTACTACTAAAAAGGCCCAAACAGGAGGATCATGAATTAGAAGGCAGTGTGGGCTACAAAGTGAGTTCCAAGCTAGACTTAGCTACATAATGAAACTGTCTCAAAACAAAACTATATTAAATAAATAAAACCCTAATATTCACCGAGTGCTCCGATTTGTCTGCTTCATAGTTCAGAGGACTTTAGTAAACTACAAATCGTTTAAGAGTTTTAATACAATTTTTAAGATTTATTTATTTATTATGTATAGTGTTCTGCCTGCATGTACACCTGCAGACCAGAAGAGGGCACCAGATATTATAGATGGTTGTGAGCCACTATGAGGTTGCTGGGAATTGAACTCAGGACCTTTGGAAAAGCAGCCAATGCTCTTAACCTCTGAGCCATCTCTCCAGCTCCCGAGTTTTAATACAATTAAAGAAGAAAGAAAAAGAGGATGAAGGAATGGTTCAGTGGTATGAGGTCTGGCTGCTCTTCTAGAGGTCCTAAGTTTGATTCCCAGCAACATTTATAATAGGATCTGATATCCTCTTTTGGGATGCAGACAGAACAGAACAAAACAAAACAAAAAATGCTGGGCAGTGGTAATGCACACTGGATTTTGACCCAGTACTTAGCAAGTAGAGGTAGGTTTATCTCTATGAGTTCGAGGCACCCTAGTCTACAGAGTGAATTCTAGGACAACCAAGGCTACACAGAGAAACACTATCTCAGAAACACAAAAACAAAAACAAAAAAAAAAAAAAAAAAGGAAGAAAAATATAAAGTAAAACTGTCATGGACCTTGGGTGTCAAGTAAGGCAGTCATGGTGAATGACCAGAGAGCCTTACCTCGGTTGTTCCCAAGTCCTCCTGAGCTTGTGGTTGGTCTTTCACATGAGTATGAAAGCTGCCCAGTTCGGTCTACCTCCTGTTGCTGCTGCTGTTGCCTGAAACATTGACAAGGGAACATACATTAAAACTCCCCACGTCAAGCAGCTACCTAGCCTTCTCACTATTTCATTTTACTTCTCAGCACAAACACATTGCCACCTTGATGCTTCTGTTTCATAAGCTAACAAGAGCATAACCCTATGCTGCTTACCTGTGTCCCCAGTAGCTGAAACTGCCTGTCACACAGCAGCTTCATCACATACTTGAAGAATTAAAGAAATGAAAACTATATTCAATGACATTGTATGTCGGAAGTATGCCATCTGCATTTTACAGAGGTTACAGTTCAGAGACTGCCATTAATCTCATTAATCTTTGAACTTTGAAGCAGTCTTAAAACTGAAAGACTATGGTGACAATGGTGACCTTTGAAGTTGGACAGACTGTATTTCGCATTAAGGCATGGTTACAGCCTACTGGGGACCAGGGAGTAGAATGTGGTGGCTTACATATGAACAATCCCACAGGCTCATACAGGTGTGGCCTTACTGGAGGAAGTGTACCACTGGAGGTGGGGTTTGAGGTTTCAAACCCCATAGCAGGCCCAGCCTCTCACTCTCTGCCTGTGGACTCCAATGTAGAGCTCTGAGCTTCTTCACCACCACACCTGCTTGCTGTGGTGGCTGGTGCCTGCAGTACAAGCCGCTCAGGAGGCCAAGGGAAAAGGTCATCTGAGCCCAGGAATTCAATACCAGCCTGAGTAACATATCAATCCCTATTTCAAAAACAAAACACGCAAGGAGTATATCCTAGTATTTAGAAAATAGAGCTGAAATACTAAGCTACAATGAGCAAGAACACAAGTTATGCCCCGATGCTTCTGATATGTCAGCAATCTGGGCAAAGGGTCCAGGAAGGGTGAAGGAGTTCTCCGCACTAGTTCTGCTTTTAAGTAATAAACACACAAAGAGAGCTAAAGAAAGAAGAAAACCCATAAATGATTGAGAAGCCACACAGAATGGCCAGGCGCAGTGGTACACACCTCTAATTCCAGCAGGCAGATCTCTGTGAGTTCGAGCCCAGACTGGTCTATAAAGCAAGACCAGGACAGCCAAGGCCACACAGAGAAACCCTGTCTCAAAAAAACAAAAGCCAAAGGAAAAAAAAAAAAAAAAAAAAAAAAAAAAAAGCCCCCAAAAGAAGCCATAATTTAAAAACCACATGATTTTAGAAGGACCAGAACTTTAAAAATCAGTTTTAGATTAGCATGTTTTTTTCTGACTTTCCTTTGAATTTTGAGACAGGGTCTCTAGTCCAAGTTGGTAGCCCAGAATGCCACTGAACTTCAGATCTGCTAGTCTCTACCTCCCATACACACCATACAAATACCACACCCTGCTTATCTACCTAAGTCTTTGGTTTTAAATGTGAGCAATAAAGACAACTGAGATAGTGGGAACTCCATCTTCTCCCTGTTGGTCTTTGAGACAAATTATTGATCTTCTGGAGTTATGTGCGTTTACACAATGGGCAATCTGGGATCCTGGCACATCATGGAGGCTCCTCCAATCAAGAAGGACTGCAACCTCAGAGGGATAACCTTTCATTTACTTTTAATTTTTCATTTAACTGACAAAATTATTGTACATATTCATGGGGCTATTATAACCTTAAATTTTGCAAAATCAGAAGAAAATCAGCTGCTAATCTTGAAACCACTGTGAATCCTGATGCTACTGCTATGGAACAAGTCCCTCAGTGCCCTTCCTACCTCACCTTCAGCCCTACTTTAGCTTCAGAACTAAAACCTGGTTTCTGGCTACAGATTAAGGGCAAAAATGAGTCAGTGAGGTACAGCTGCTTTCTTGGAAAGCAGTCATGGAGACAGTCCTGAATCCTGCCTCATGGCTGTTTCAGTGGGGCCAGAAACCTTGACAACTATGATATGGCTTCCTGAGTCCAAGATCACAGCTGTTATCTAGTTTTTGTTTTTGTTTTTGCTTTTAAGATTTAGTTAGGGACTAGAGAAAAGGTTCAGCAGTTGAGGGCACAGGCTGCTGGGACCTGGGGTCAGTCAGTTCCCAGCACCTACATGGGGGCTCATGACCATCTAGAGTCCTGGCCCCAGAAAATCTAATACCTTCTTCTGGCTTCCTTAGTCACTACATGCATGTGGTACAGATACATACATGCAAGAAAAACACCCATATGTATAAAATAAAGTTGAGACTGTTTTTCTGATTTAATATGCACATATAAAAGACTTAAAAGTGTTTTAGACTGTGTGTGTGTTTGTGTGTGTGTGAGGCCTTAGAGGTTGAGAACAGAGTACAGAATCCTCTGAAACTCAAGTGATTATAAGCCATGTGGGGTTCTGGGAATCAACATTGGTCCTCTCCAAGTATATCGGAGCCCCGTCATCCTAACCAGGCAGCAGTTGCAGCCATTCTCACAAACTGGTCTACATTTCAGAAGCCTGGCTCCGAACAATTCCTAAGGCCTCTAATTTCACTATTAATTACTGTTTTCCTTAAATATCCCTACCTGTTTCTGTTTCCCAAACTGAGCTGTCATAAACTAAGCCACACCACTAAAGCAATGGCGTAAGTATTAGGCAATCAAAACATCACAACACTCCTTGGCTATGAATGCTTGGATGTGTCTTGCTGGGAAACACTGTGTTTCTTGTAATAGGCAGGACACAGCATTCAAAGCTACACCTGGGAAGGACATTAGTGATGCTAACAAATCTCTGGGGAAGATGTTAACAGCTGACAGTCTTCTTACCCATCACTAAAGTCCATGCTCCCAACAGAAGGCATCAGCAATGCTGATGTGGACTTTATTTACAGATCACTGCTAAAAAAAGTGTCATGTCAAGGAAACATTACCATCACTCATAAACTATGAATTTATAATAGGCTAATTTTTAGTACTATTTTTTTACACAAGAAAAGAAATCTTACAATCTGTTGTGTTTCATATCTAATTAAGCATGAGGGAAAGATGGGGAGGAATGTAACAAGTTAGCACCAGGGACAGTTTGGAGAGGGAAAGAAGAGAGCCAGACAATCTTATACCCAACAGTCCAGACAGAAACTAGAGAAATAGGAAAATATTTCAGCTAGGAAATGAGGGATGTGGGTAAAGGCAAGTACAGCATGCACTTTTAAACGATGAGCCATCCTCTAGCCCCTTGGCTCCCTGTTTTAAACTTGATTGTAAAATAGCACTTTTAAATGCCAATCAGTGTTAAAAATAAACACTATAAGCCCTTAATTCATCTCAGCTATATGTGAGGGGGCAGAACATTCCCTGGTTGCCTTAAGTTCTCAGCAGAGGATAAAAACTAGAGCTAGTAACAATCACGAATACGTGGTCAGACACAAGAAAGGAGGCATGCTCATACCCCCCCAAAAAAATTTAAGGGCGCAAGGTTGAGCAAAATCTGTTCGCTTAAAAGTACTAGTTACAGTTTTTAAATTGTGATTGTTATAGCTTACTTATTCATCATGGGATGTTACTGAAATATCTACACTACTACTAAACGTAAAAACTTACTGGAAGTTTCAAATTTTTATTTCAAAAAAGTTTACAAAATGTTTAAATAAAAGGGCACTGGCGACAGGGCCCAGCAACTGAAGACTCTTGCTGTCAAACCTGATGAGCAGAGTTCCATGCACAGGACCCACGAGGTGGAAGAGAGGAACTAACTGGGGGAGGTAACCCTCTGACCTCCTGTATACATACATAGCACACACGCACACTCACAGAGACGGAATACGAATATGCGTATGACAAGAGGGGATGTACCTTAACATCACTTATTGGAGGAAGTGATAATGGGAACATACTTTTTAAAAAACTTGAATTTTCTGGAATACTATTTTGCCTACTTAAGTAGTTTTAAGTTATTTTTAAAACTTAGATTTATTTATATTTATATTAAATTATATTTAATTGATATTAAATTGTTAATTATTATTATTTGGTAACAAAAACATTTATTAGGAGGAAAAAAATAGTCAAGCTAGGTATGGTACACACACCCATAGTCCACCACTCAGGAGTGAAAGTCAAGATGACTGGGAGTTTAGGACTAGCCCAGGCACTGAGTGAGACTGCTCAAAAAACAATGCAAAAACAATAACAACCCTACAGAACGCAAACAAACAAAAGCCCTCAAATATTAAAGTCATCATAATGACATGATGACCGTGACTTGTTACAATTCCAAGGCTGTGGGTGAATGGAACAAATGGGAGTTAAAGGCCTAAAACCTGGCTTGAGTGCTGATGTTTATTAAGTCTGAGTAACAAATATGGGTGTGTTATGCAGAAATCTAAGGCTTATCATAATTTAAAAAGTAAAATGAATATGAAAAACACTACTAAGACTATTTTAAAATATAAATATAATTGAGTCTATTAATCAGTCACTGAAAAAAATCACTAGAAATATCGCACATTAAGGAGGATGTCAGCCGATCAGAATTTTCCTTCATACACTTCTGAGATGTGAACAGAAAAAGGTAAACATTATCTTCACGATACCAGCAGATGCAAAATGGTCCAAACTTTATCCTCTAACCCGCCAACTCGGACTCTAAGAAGTGGCTGCTCAAGCTCAGAGGTGCCACTGTGCAGCTGTGGCTCATGTGCTGGGCATGGAAGCTGAGCCACCTGCATGCTGGGTGAGCACGCTCCCTGCTGAGCTGAATCCCACCCAGTCTTTCAGAGATTTTCAAGTGTGAAAATAAATGCACCAGTGAATTGATGAGACACAGTATAGAAGTGGGCAGAGTCCATCTCTGGCCTTATCTTTCTGACCTGAGATCAGAGGATTCAATTATCTATTATTGATCATATAACTTTTTAAAGGTGGAGTTTGATTTAAAAATTGACATATATCTATAATCCTAGCATTAAAAAAGCTTAAGCACAAAGACAGCCACAAGTGAGGCCTGCCAGGACAACACAACAAAACCCTGGCCAAAAAGGAAAAACAAAAATAAAATAAAAATAAAAACAAAAAGAAGACTTGTGAATGGTGATTATTAGAAAGGAAGAACTATAAAAGTGTAAGTAATCTTTTTTTCTTGGTACTTATAAACAGAGCACAATAAGCGGTTTTGGGAGCTCATAATTAAGATTTATGGTGTCTATTGACCTGATTGACAGGCCTTGGGTCTCCTAACATGACACTGAGCAGTACTACAGAGCACACAGCACCTGCACTTGGGAATATGCCCCACCGTACTCGAAGGCTGCTTTCCCTGTTAGCAAATGGGAGCACAACTCATAGGTGACCAGTGCTACATCCAATCAATCAACAAGCACACTTCTTCTTGTCCTAAGTCCATTTTCCTTCTGATAAGCAAAATTTCACAAGGTTTCCTTTATCCTCGTCCATATAAATATATCTAAGATTGGGCAAAGGTTTTTTTTCTCTAAAACTGTTAAGTATTTCATTCTTTATTTGCTGTAAAAATTTAAAAACATATATATATTCATATATTCACAGGTTCAGGCAGAGAATAGTAATTTACAAACAGACAAAGTAAGCGAGTATTAAATATGTAACTTTAATCTGTAACAACTACTTTACTTTTCAAAGTAGGCTTCTCTCCTCTTGCGCAGTTCTTCTGAAGTAAGGTTTGTACTTGATGTCTGTGGACTATCTTGACACATATTTCTGGAACTACCTAAAAAAAAAAAATAATCATTTCATACACCTGTTCAAGCAGTAGTATACTGTTCTTACAGGAGAAAGCTTCTAGAAAGTTCTCTTAACATTCCACTACTGTTCTGTACACAGGTTGTAGGGAAGTCTTGGAAAATCTAATTAAGGTACTTAAAATCTCATGCGTTACTCAACCAAAGCTGATGCTGCCTGTGACACATCAGATGTGAGGACACAGATCCACTGTTCACCTGCTGTGAGAAGTCAAGACCACACTTCTGTGCTTTTTACCTTCCCAAAACTGCACCTCCATCTCAAAGACACAGCACTTCTCACAGCAACCTCTGATGGAGGACCACAGCATGCCCTTACTCTGTTCCCAAAACCGTCAATGTTTCTAAGTTCTCAACAGTATTGTACCAAGCACAGACTCCAGGTAGAATGTAAAAATGGTAAGATGGGTGTTCTGTGGATGACTTCAATAATCCAGCAGACCCCTCCTAATAAAACATGGGACTTCACACTACAAGGAAGAGGCAGAGGTATGCCTGGAGGTGAGACGTCTAGGGTAACGTTAATGGCTGTGTTAATAAAGCCTCAGTACGCTAAGACATTTCAGATATTTAAATGATGAGCAATCTCACTAGAAGCAGAAGCACCTTCAAATAGATTAAAACAAAATAAATAAATAAATAAATAAAGCACTTTGTGCTGTCATAAACTTTTGAGTGTCCCAACACTTTTCTCCACCAGTATTCCTAAGGGAGTTTATCTTCACTCTCCTCCACTGTTGATGGACTTAAATCAATAAAAAAGGGGTATCCTGTAAAAGTGGGCTTAGGTCTTAAGCTGTACAGCCAATAAGTGTTGGACGTCCACTGGCATGTATTTGTTAAAATGGTTAGCTTGGGTAAGGGTCATCTAGCCACTAGAAAATTAATTCAACTACTTGTTATTTATATTAGTTCAGTATTATAGTCATAACATAACAAAAAAATTATAGCTGTGTTAAACACAATAAATATAGTCCTAGTATATTATAAGTTATAAAAGTGATTTGAGAGCAAGGAACTCTAAAAGAAATGTTCAGGTCTGGAACTATTGCTTTTGCAGTAACTATCAAAGAACTTCTAAAACCACACAATTTTCAGAAAAGCCAAGAATGTGAACCACTTCTCCAAAAATGACTAAAGCATACATGAAAATGTCCATACCTTGCATACTGAGCCGAATAGCCCTACGGAGATCGGCTTCTTCATCCTCCATGTCAATTTCTTGACGACTTATGGCTAGAGCCCTCTGTAAATCATCCTCATCCTCATCTAACATTCCCGATCCATCAGCTGCCTCTAGGACTCGTTCCAGATCTGCTTTGAGAGCACTAAACAACAAATGAATTCATAATAATTACAGCCTAGTCTTCAAGAAACCCAGTCTTAAAAAAAATAAACAAAACAAAAAAATAAAATGTGTATGGATATTTTGCACATTGTGTGTGCAGTACCTAAGGAGGCCAGAAGAGGGTGTTGGCTCCCCTGAGACTAGAGTTACAGGTTGTGAGCATTGTGTGTGCAGTACCTAAGGAGGCCAGAAGAGGGTGTTGGATCCCCTGAGACTGGAGTTACAGGTTGTGAGCTAGTAAGTGGGTGCTGGGACTCAAACCTAGGTCCTCTAGTAAAGCAGCCAGTGCTCTTAACCACTGAGCCATTTCTCTAGCTCCATATTCTTCAACTTTAGATAAAGTTAGATAAACATAAAGGCACTTGCAAACTAAAGAGTTTAGATTTAAAAAAAAAAAATGTTCTAGCAGATAAGGTCTAGTAAGAGAACAAGTAAGTTGTAATATGAGTCTAATATGTTTAAGTCATTCACAGTGCTGACTCCACCAAATCCACTAAAACTTAGCCTAGCTGGGCACAGCGGCATATACCTACTGAGTGACAGCTACCTGCCAGCCAAGCACAGGATGTCAAGTTTGACAACTTGGCAATTCAATGAGACCTGAAGTGGAAGGCAGGTCTAGAGAACTATCCAATGATAAGCATGAAATCCAGGATCTGAGCCCGAACACTACAAATAATAATAATGACAATAATTAATTTTTGGATGGGGAGGTAAGTCCTGGAGATGTAGCACAGTAGGAAGAATAGCTGCCTAACATACACAAGCCCCTGGGTTCAATTTTCACCACCACGAATAAAACAGCACGGAGGCACACACATATGTAATCCCAGCCAGCCTGAGCTATTTAAGATCTTAATTCAAAAAACAAATACAGAGGCTCCCTTAAACAATACGTGTACATGTCAAATTGCCTTCTAAGCACAATTAGACCTACAAAGATCAGCACTACTCAAGAATGCTTCCTTTTGCAGTCACTGTTTTTGGTTGCTCGCCAGTACTAAATAGTAAGATCTATTGGTAAAGACAGCACACATTTTGCTTATGTAAATAGAGAAACCAAGCTGGAACTAAGCTGGAGGCTAACACCCTGCTGACCAGCTTTCAAAATGCTGCAAGATTCTATGAAGGCTGCTAGAGAAGAAAAGTCATTAATAGTTTTAAACAGACCCTGTCTGCATGTTATACTATAATACTATCTTGTTAGATAATAGTGGCATGACTATTATGGGGGCAACCAATAACTTTTTCTTTTTTCTTTTCTTTCTTTTCTCCCTCCTTCCTTTTGAGACAGTGTCTATTATCTAGCTCTGGCTGGCCTGAAACTCACAGAGATCCATCTGTTTCTGCCTCCCAAGTGCTGGGATTAATAAAGGTGTGTGCCACCATGCCTGGACCTACTGTTTTGATGGGATTTGAGGGCCACTCCACAGTTAAGTAATTCATGCCTGGTACCATAAACCAGGTCAAAAGCCTGTGGTCCTAGGTGAGGAAAACTACTACTTACTGTTTCACTAAAAGGACATGTCGCTGGGTGTCATGGTATTTGCCTGTAATCCCAGTACTTGGGGAAGCAGAAACAGGCAGATCTTTCCAAGTTCGAGACCAGCCTGGTCTACAAAGCAAGTCCAGGACAGCCAAGGCTACACAGAAAAACCCTGACTCAAAAAACCAAAAAATGAAAAACAAAGAAGCAGGCCAAAAAAGGACATGTTAAACTCCCTTCTAAACATACTTAGACGTAAAGATTAGTGCTTGGTCAGAAAAGCTGACCCCCTATGCCCCCATCCCCAGCGGATGGCAGTTAATGCAAGACTCAGGAAAGGTGTCTGGGAATAAGTGACTATTAAGTGATTAGACTTAAGTGGGACATCTGTATCATCCTCTAAGGCTCAAGGAACTTTACAGAAGATAGGGCAGAAAGAATGTGAGAGCAGATTAGGGAGGAACTATGTGGAATGCTGTCTTCTGACTCCAATATGGCTGTTGTACTCAAACTCACAGCAGCTACGGTTACCAGCACAAGGTCACCAACTACCATTCTAGCACGGATGAGGGGGCACTCAGAGGTCCCATCCCTAGCAAGTTACTAAAGAAGAAAAAAGATATGAAAATAGGAAGGAGACTGACTGGGAAGATAAAGGCATTCAGAGGGAATAGTAAAGGGATAAAAGAAGATAATAGAAGGATGAAAATAATAAAAAATTTTCAAATAAGTAAATATTTAAAATTACATAAACACATCAAAGTCTTGAACTCTCTGCCCCACATCCAAGTGTGTCCACATAATTAAATAAAATGGTCAAAAAATGTTTAAATAATTAATTAATTTACTTTATACCCTGACTGGTCAAAATTTTTTAATAAATGAATGAAATGAATTAATCAGTGAATGAATGGACAGACAGATAAATGGATGGAAGAAAGAAAGAAAAAAAGAAAGGAAGGAAGGAAGGAAGGAAGGAAAGAAGGAAGGAAGGAAGGAAGGAAGGAAGGAAGGAAGGAAGGAAGGAAGAAAATAAGGGGTTTGAACATAGCAGAATAGAACATTTGCCTGGTATGAACAAGAGGTTAATCCCCAGCACTACAAAAACAAATACACACAAAAAAAAATAAGGTAAAAAAAAAATCATGGTAAAATGACCTCATATTAAATGTAAGCACAGGAGCTAAAGAGATGGCTCTCCAAAGGGCCAAGTTCGGTTCCCAGCAACCCCGTCATGTAGCTCACCATCATCTGTGACTCTAGACCCCAGGGATCCAACCCTCTGTTGGACTTGGTGAGCACCAACACGCAGTAGCATATACTCTCACAGACACGAAACATGTAAGCTTGGACATGGAATTCTTCTAAGGGTATGCTGCGCCATATATTCCACACTAACACTTAATTTTTACCTCTGTTCTTTCAGTTGTGCTAACTCTTCTCCAATAAGTTTTGGTCGATGCATCTGTTGGACTTTTATCATCTGCAAAAGTTGGTCAGCTTCACAATCTGGGAGATCACCCTTAACAACAAATATAGAATAACCTAAAAAGAGGCAAAAACAAACTAAAACAACTAGTAAGAATTTCAAACTTGTTCTGAAATGATAGCTGACAGAAAGGTAGCACAGCACAGTAGGAAAAATAGAAGATGAAAATTCAGAAAGACCTATTTTAGTGATGATTCTCACTGGATTAGAAAGACTACCTATGGTAAGTCACACACAATCCTGAGTCTTACTCTTCTCATCTCTAAGGCTCAGGAGCTACGAGAAACAAAGGCAGTCCTGTCTGTAAGGCTCTAGAAGGGCAGAGCCTGGCCAGAGTCTACTCACCAACAGGGAGAGGACAGGAGGTAAGGGAGAGCAGAAAAGAGGATCTGTAATCAACTGCTTGTTTTATCCTAGATCTGCCACGTCCTAATACCACGGGGTCTGTCAATTACTTCCCCCAAATGTGCTGGTACCTTTGTTGGACAGAGATAAAGGAACCTTCCTCAAGTGGCTGGTGTGAAGACACACGTGGGTACTATGTCCAGTGGCTGATCACATGGGTAAAATAAATCACTGGAATACAGGGAAGTGGCAGCTGCTCACGCTACTTCCTGCACCATACACAGAGCCCTTCTAACTGAAAACAGGAGCTGGGAAGCTGTACCCCAAATCTAGCCAGTGTGACTCGTGTTTTGAAAAAAATAAAAAATAAACTGGTACAATACAATTTTTAATAAACACGTACCTAAGGTTTTCTCGGCTACAATTAAGTCCAATTTTATTTAACATTTTCTACCACTGATTTTCTTGAACTTCAATAAAACAAAGACTGAGAAGGCTGGTCACTAAGAAGGAGAATATATCTAACATTTTTTAAGGACCAGTTTATTCAGAGTTCAGATGTCTAAATATGTTTTCTGCTAGAAAAACTGTTTCTAGGTGCCGAGCACAGTGGTGCGTGCCTGTAATCCCAGCACTTAGGGAGGCAGAGGCAGGGGGATCTCTGAGAGTCTGAGGCCAGTCAAGTCTACAAAGCAAACCCAAGACAGACAAGGCTACACAGAGAAACCCTATCTCAGAAAAGCAACAACAACCACCAAAAACCTGTTTCTATACTCTAGCATCAGTATGTCAGCTCACGATGGTATCTACTAAGCTTGTCCTGAAGAGAAGATATTCTGCCTTGGGCAAACATGCAAACAACGTAGCAATTCTGGATTTTATTTAAGACTTCAGAATTTATTTTAGATGTATTAAGAAACCAGTAATCAAGAAAGTAAAGGTATGACATAATACACATTATATTTTTATCAAACACCCTGGCTCCTTTATTAACATAACATATAGAAGCCAGGATACAAGAACGACTCTTACTAAAATGGAAACCTGAGAGAAATCTGCACATAAAGAGAGGCAAACAAAACCAACCAACCAACCAAAGACCCACAGAAGCTAAGTCTTTGGGGCTGGAGGGATGGTTCAGTGGTTAAGAGCACTTGCTGTTTTTCCAGAGGATTCATATTTGATTCCTAGTACTTGCATGGCAGCTCACAACCATATCTAACTCCAGTTCCAGGGGATCTGATGTCCTCTTCTGACCTCCATGGGTACCAGGTACACACATGGCACACAGACATACAGATAAATAAAACTCATACACATAAAATATTAAAATAAAAATGACAGATGTCCTTTGTGGACATGTTTGATTTAAAATCTTCCTGGACTGCCACACAAAGATGTCAGTATCAGGACTGGCGTTCAAAGGCATGTCTAGGCTAAATATAAAAATCTGGGAATTATGAATGTACAGCTCATAGACTGTGATTAAAAGAGTGAAACGGCACATAGGAAGAAGCTGACCTGAACCTGGTAACTGTAACAATTAGATACTGGAAAGTGCATGATGATCTTCAGAGGGAACCTTGAAGAAGCAGTTGGTGAGACAGGCAGAGGCCAACATATAACGACACTGCGTAACCTTTAAGGACAGGAGGGGTCTAGGCACTATTCGCTAACATAGGCTAACATCACAAACGGACAAGCAGACACCAGAGGCCACATCATCCCCACATCAGCTGGAACCTACTCAAGTATCTACATCTAAGGTGCACTAGTGCATCCGTCAGTCAGAGGACATAGTCACAGTAAGAAAAAGACCAAGAGGTGGGAATCAGACAAATGACCCAGTCTCTCCCCCTCCCCCACACAAAAACCTTAGTAAATAAATCAAAGGAAAATACAGAGACAAGGAAACTTACAAGTAGATTTAGAAAAAAAAGGCTAACCCAGTACAATTACTGAATCCGATGTTCCAACTCAGATTAAAGTGTGAAAGAACTCATCAGAGATGAGGGCTAAGAGAGACGCAAAGAAACACTAGTGACTGGTGTCATTAAAACACTGCGGCTGCCAGCTGGGACACTGTGGCTGCCAGCTGGGAAGACAGGTCAGAGTACAGTTCTGCTTCACATGAACACAGCCTGGGATTTTCAATCCCTATCACCACAAAGCACAGCATTTTAAGTATGATTATAGTGCAACTGTACATGTTTTTTTAAATAATAAATAAAATTCACTTTAAAATTTTTTATCATGAAAATATTTAGAGGAAACAGGAGCATGAATGGGAAAGAACAGACATGAGGCAAAGGGCACAAGGAGATCAGAACATCACTTCCTTTCCTTTTACTTATTTATTTTTTTAAATAAGCAGTTTGTTGTTTTCCATTTAGTCAGGGTATAATCAACTGCCTCCTCAAATAAAGGAGGCTCAGGAATTGAATCCTGGCACTGGCAATATGGAAGTCACCACTGATAGTGAGAAGAGAGACTTTTGGACTCACTGGTTAGCTTATGGTGACACAGCCAGAAGGAGTTAAACAGGTGACAATGCACTAGAGACAATTCTAATGAGAAAAGTAAAACCTTAAGCAGCTAAAGTTTCATAGTTGAGAGAAGCTCTTCATTTTTAATCAATGGAGGCAAAGAGCTTTTTACCCATGGATAGACTTTTCTTTTTCTTTCTTTCTTTCTTTTTTTTTTTTTTAAAGGAGTGGAAAGAATGGAGAAGGCCAAAACTGAATATTGACTACATGGAAAGAACAAAGATACAGCATACATGGAGAGGCTGGCCTTACATGTAGGGTCAGTCCATATATTTTAATAGGCTCAAAACTCAAGAAGATATAGAAGCAAGGTTAGAGATTTGCTAGAAAGAAGAGAATTATATCTATGTTCTCAGAAGAATACAAGAGAAAGCTATAAGATACAGCAATGTATAAGGAAGTGAGAACTAAGTTGTGAAATAACAACCAAGGAGTCATTTAAAACCTGTAAACACAAAACTATAGTAAAACTAACCAACATATTGTACACAATTTTTAAGCCATGTTCAGCTGCTATGGTATAGGAATGTCTAAAGCAACGATTTGGTTTACCTGTGGTCAAGATTCCTGTTATTTAAGAATAATGGGGGAGAGAAAGCAAAGAAGTTGAGGAAAATAGCAGAATGACACTATCAGGGACTGATGAAATGGCTCAGAGGTTAAGAGCACTGGTTACTCTTGCAGAGGACCCAGGTTCTGGTCCTAGCATGCACATAGTGGCTCACAGTTCCAGGAATCCCAATACCCCGCTTTGGCCTCTTTGAGCACTGCATGCACACAGAAACACACGGGGAAAACACCTACCCACATAAAATAAATTAAAAAAAAAACCAAAAAACAAAAAACAAAAAACAAAAAACACCAGGCATGGTGGCACACACCTTTAATCCCAGCACTGGGGAGGTAGAAGCAGGCAGATCTGTGAGTTCCAGGCCAACCTGGTCTACAAAGCAAGTTCTAGGACAGCCAGGGCTCTGTTACACAGAGAAACCACATGTCAAAACAAACAAACAAACAAACAAACAAACAAAAAATCAGGGTAAAAACTGCAGAGTATAACAGGAGTTCTGGGTCAAATGTAACTTTAGAGCCTGGTCAGAACAGCAAAAGAGAGAAAGCACAGCATAAAGGTAGAAGGTGATGGTCAAAGAATAAGATGCTTATGACTAGGATTTGAAGGTAGTTATAGTTATTCGCAATGTCAAGACAAGAGTGAAGAAAAATGATCTTTGAAAGAAGAATAGTTACTGGTGTAAAAATGACTAAGAGTTTAAGGAAGAGAGATGGATAACCAGCCATCTAAAGTCTCCAATAAAAGAAGAAGGGGGCTCACAGATGACCACCCAGACACAGGTGATTCAAAGGCACTGGAGTCCACAGAAACAACAGTGGCTGAAAATGAGTCAACAGGAATAGGAGCATGCACTTCCTCCTGTCAGCCCTGTGATATGGAGGACATAAAAGGGAAAGATATCAGTTAAGAAAGATGCAAAGAAGGCCTCAGGGAGGTCTGTCATAGTATATTTGATCCCATTGTAAACCCCAAGATTGTGAACTGTAAAAACCTGTTTCTTATTTGCTGTGGCTCAGCCCTAACACATACCTTTAACCAAGAGCTTTCTGCTTAATGTAAACAAGTACTTGTGGTTTTGGCTCAGCCCTAGCACATACCTTTAATCCAAAACTTTCTGTTTATTGTAAACAGGTGGCACAGCCATATCTAATGGGAACAGGGAAAATCATAAGAACAGCACAGCTGCTTGACAAAGATCCAGCAAAGCTGAGCCGAGTGATGGAACTGCTGTGGTGCAGTCTTCTGCTCTTCATGTAGCATGCTTGGGGGCTTTTATTGTTTGTACAATTTGGAGATACTGTGTTGACAGAAATTTTCTCATGAATCATTTATACCTTCTCCCATGAGTGCTGCTTCTAAGCTTTCCCAGGAATGTCCCAACCATACTTCCCCTCCTGCTTTCAGGGAGATATCCTTATCTGGCCCTACTTGAAGGTCTTCCTTATGCCCTGTAGGTTGTGACTCAAATAATTATGCCAAAGACCACCTTATGGAGCTCTGACTCAAAGACATTCTTGGCACATCTAACCCTGCACTTACTCAGGAACAAAATAATCAAAACAAAGTAAACTTAAAAGGTAAACTATATTCAGTATGCTAGAGAACTTGGCAGCAGATCAAATTAAAAGGCTCTTCCTACTACTGATGGACAAAGAATGGTGTGGATAAATGATAAAAGGATAAAATATTAAAACCTCCCTTTCTTAGAAAAAGTTAACTCATACAGGGCCACTGTGGTGTCATATAACTAAGGAATAAAAAAATAACAAGATTAGATATATAAATAAATTCTATAAATATATAAAATATAAACATTATGACAGAAATTAAATAATAACTGCAGTAGCTTTGGCCTGAAGACTTCCTGGACCTAATGACTATGAGCACCCTGACTATTAAAAGTTGAAAATAACTGCTCAGGACATGACAGTTTGCCCAGTCTGGCTTAGATGCATTCTTTCTGTCTAGTGACCTTGAAACACAAGAGCTACCAGCCTGAGAACAAACTGTCATGCTTTGGCAAAATATGTCCATGAAACTCCAAGACTGTTAAAAGCTGGGTTGTGTGGTTGATGGGGAAAATGACTGTAAACGATAACTCTACTCTGTCACGGTTTATCAATGATGACTAAACTTAGGACCAAGAGGAAGCTAAAACATGTACCTGGAGACAGAAAAGATCAGATCTACGTTTTGCAGGCCTCTATCCCTGCCTAAGTTCTATATAAACAAAGAAACACCCAGACTGCCAATAAGTCAGGATGTAAAACTCCTCCTGATCCTGACTGACTGCTCTTGCATCCACCCTTCTTCAGGACCCTACCTCACGCCTGCAGTGTGGCTCAGCCCTAGCACACACCTTTAATCCAAGAGGGAGATAAAGTTAACACTGAATCAAGAGGCGGAACAAGGAGCCAGCTGACAGGGATGAACAGAAAGGGGGGCCACTGAGAGCAGGGAATTTAAAACATTGTGGAGAAGGGCTTTTGGGTTTTTTCCTTCTAGGACATAAGCTTTTTCTTTCTAGGAGGTCAGCTGAGTAGGAAGATCAGTTGGGTGCTTTCTCTGTCTTTCTGCGCTAGCAGGCTTTCAACATGGCATCTGTCTAAATTTTGCCTGGAAAAATTGAAAGGTTGGGATTTTACTGTTTTATAACAACAGAGATCCCACTGTAGGAAGCACTCACAAGAAGCCATGTCAACCACATCACAGCCCGCAGTTGAACACCTACACTGTAAGGGTGATTTACTACCACTGCCAGAAATCAGCATTATTACACTCACAATGACTCAGTTTATTAAGCTATATAAATAAAATTTTTGGCATTTATTTACCTTCTTGCTGTAACTGAGCCAAGAATAGTGCGAGGTATGTATCTGATATTAATTCTGGACCCGTCAACAAAGAATTCAAGTTAAACCACTAGGGAAAAAAAAAGATATGAATATTTAAGTTAATGAACATTGTATATGTAAATAATTCCTCATTAAGCATATAATCCACCAAAACTTAGTAAGACTGTCTAGATAACAGAAACATATCGAACTGAGAACTTTTAAAGTACTGAATACTGAGACTTAAATGCTATATATTTGTCACTATTAAATGCTTTTTTAGAAACAAGTTTTTAGTAACAAATTAAGGCATAAACTTTAACTTATTCTAAAAGGAGAAAGGCTGAGAATATCTTAAAATGCCTTTGCTGGCAGCTGTAACTAAGTGGTTTCATACTATCAGGCCAACACACTGATTCATGTCATATTGACAGAAAAAAAATGACATGTACACACTTTTTCATTTGGTCAAAAGATTTCAATTTTTAAAAGGCAGACATTCTGGGAAAAGAATTTACAATCACCACTTCATTTTAACAAGACCTCTAAGCTACCACTGCAAGTGATTAACAGCATTAATTCACAACTTAAAACAAAAATGTAAACACATTCCAAATTTTGGAATTAGTTATGGTCAATTCCATGCACAACTGACAGCTCTTCCTGGATTTTGATACTAATCAAGAGTACTCTCCCCAGTCATTCCTTTCTTCACTCAGGAACCAGAGGCTGGCCTCAGAACTCACAAGTCAGCCAAGCCTCTGACTCCTGAGTGCTGGGATTAAAGGCTCAAAACAATGCTTTCCTACAAATCATTACAAAGTTGCTTATGGGCTTGAAATTTTAAGACCTTAAAACTCGGTGATTGAGAATACAAAAAAGTAACACTGGGTCATAAATAAATTTCTAAAGGCACAAATGAACCATTCATGGCTATGAGGAGGGCGGAGAAGTTAAATAAAGTTGACCCTGGCTCTTTGCAGAACTGACTCCTGTTCCAGTCAGTCTCTAAGCCACTATACACACTATATACACTCCTTACCCGCTCTCCCCATACCTGAAAAAGAAACTACAATGCTTTTTCCTTATTTTTTGAAGGATACTGAAGCTTAGGACCTTGTGTTTATTGTAAGTACATGCCCTGTCAAAGATCTACATCACCAAGCAAACATTGATGATTGGGCTGCTTCCAGGGCTGACTTAAAAGCTAACAGTACAGTTTATTTAAAAAAAAAAAAAAAAAAAAAAAAAACCACACTGAGTTAAACCAATATATATTGACTTAATATATATTATATACTTAATATATTGTATAGTAATATATTTTATATTATACATTAATATATTTGCTATTATGTGTGTCATATTTTATAGGTATTATTTATATATTAAACCAACACATGTATTCTATATATTAACTCTCTCTATTTATACTCATTTAAATCAATGTTCTTTCTTTTTAATTTAATGTTTATGTATGTATGTATGTATGTATGTATGTACATGTGTGTGCTTGGTGCCCACAGAGATCAGAAGAGGCTGGAGTTACAGATGGTTGTGAGCCACCATGTGAGTGCTGGGAAAAAAATCCAGGTCCTCTGCAAGAGCAGCAAGGTCACACCTGCTGAGCCACATCTCTAGGTTCAGTTTTTTATGTCACTTATTTTTGAACTTTTTTGAGACAGGGTCTCACGATGTAGCTTTGGCTGGCCTAGAACTTCTATAAATCTCCCTGTTTCTGCTGGGATCACGAATAGGCATCACCATACTCTAATTTTTGCTTTGTAGTTTAAAGAACAGCTTTACTGAGGCATAACTGACATGAAGTAAACTGCCTTTCCTCTCCTCCTGTCTCTCTTGAAGGTCTCATTATATAGTCCAGGCTGGCCTCAAGGTCTTCGTAGGTCAGTCTCCCAAGTGTTGAGTCATAGGCATGGGCCACTGTGCTTGGATTAACTGCACATACTTATATTACAACTTGTCTTTTTTACAATTTGTCATTAAAAAGATGTATCTGTATTACCCCAATAAGCCATCAACATGACCATGCATTGAACACATTCATCAGAGTCCAGTCTCCTGACCCCCCTGGGAGCCTTTCGAGTCTCATGTCCCTTTTCCCTATCCCCAGCCCTACACAAGCACTACTTAGTCTTCTTTCTGTCACTGTATCTCGGTTCCCATTTCTGAGATTCATCCAGGCTGCTGTGTACTAACAGTTCATCCCCTTTGACTGCATAAGCTCGTTTTCAACAACACTTCGCAAGGTCTAACATTCTAAGACCCTACTGACTATTTCTTTCAAAACCATGTTCAACGGTGACTTACACATATGTATGCACTGCCAGATCCTGGAATCACCTCAAGAATCCCGTCCCACAACACCAATTTCTAAATGTTTTGCTTACTCCTGACCTCATCTCAGGCTTTGTTACAATACTGTACTAAACACAAATCATCACACAAAAACATACATGATAGTAACCATATATGCATTGTTGTAAATACAAATTTTTATTCTCATATAACTTACATGCTTTGTATTTTAAAAATCTGAAGAGAAACTGATTATCTTCTCTTAAGATAGCAAATTTTTATCTGTTGTATTGAGTCCAGGCTTGGGCAGAGTACACAGGATCCGGGGCTTCATTCCAAAGACACCAATCTCTTTATTTTGGTTTAGGGTACAGAGTGTGATAAGAGGACAAGAAAGGAGACGAGATCTTACCTGTTTACCTAACTTTCTAACTGTAAACCAGTGTTCCTTATAATTGCATATAAAGGACCTTTCATTTCTAGAAAAAAACAAAATGTACACTGTTAAATGGGGGTATTAGGAGATATATACTGGCAAATACTATGAAATTTCTACCATTTAGGATATAGCTACACTTAATTACTGATTTTTAAAAATAAAGATCATATAACTCCATGCATTTTCCACAGGATCTTAGTGATGTCATGCCTCAAAGCCTCCATACCAGCCAGGTCAGTGCCACCACTGACATGATTAAAAGGCAGCTGCTCGAGGCACCAAAAAGATGACATAGTGCAGTCCAAGGGCCTCAAACGCAGTAATAAAGACATTCATAATCAAGTTGTCCTCATTCAGAAATCATACCTTTAAAAATCAAATTTAAATAAGGAAACATAAGGGGAAACGCTTACATGGGATCAATTCTGAGCCTCTGGTATTCTGGACTGTTGAACAGGATAAGTTCTAAGCCCCAAACTTTCAAAGCATTGCTTATAACCTGTCAGAAGAAAGACAGCAACTTTTCATGAGCTAAACCTTTAAGTCCAAAGTTAAGCAGAACTACATTAATTGTGTAAGCAACTGTATTTCATATGCAAATTCTGATAATAGGGTTTTTTATAAATTATGTCCCCATGATACCTCATGAAATTGAAAAATAATATATATGTGATTTTAATTTTATTTCATGTTTTCTAAAGATTTTTTTAGAATTTATTTAACTGTGTCTCAGTGAGTATAGGCTATGGTATGAGTACCTGTAGAGGCCAGAAGAGGGCATGAGGTTTCCATATATTGGAGTAATAGGAATTGTAAGCAGCCTAATGTAGGTGCTGGGAGCTGAACTGGTTCTCTGAAAGACCATTTAGCATTCTTAAATTCAAAGCCATCTCTTCAGACCCTCACATCCATTTGAAAAGTACTTTCCAGATTAGGTTTCTTAGAAATGTCAGATAACTGCACAGTTCATAGATGACACTGCCTCAAGCATCCAGAAGCACATTCCATGCTATGGTGCTGCTTCTAAAACTGGTCCACTCATAGACTCACCACCTGCAATGGCAGTGACTGAAGGCATATTAAAGCAAGTTCTCCCTGGCTTTCAAAGAAAGGTGTGGGGCCAGGGAGATGACTAAGTGGTCAATAATGGATACTGTTCTTACAGGACCCAAGTTCAGTCCCCAGTACCCAAAATTAGGGGGCTCACAACCACCTATAATGTCACCTCCAGGGCGACCATGCCCTTTTTTGGGCCTCCACAGACACTAGCAGTCAAGTGCACATACCCACACAGTGACACATACATATACAAATAATTTTATAAATAAAAATAAGTCTTTTAAAAAGAAGGTTTGATATATTTTAAACTTCCATAGTCACGAACAAAAAGTCAAACCTGATGACTACAAGCTGAGAAATAGGAGAGAAATCTAGAAAATGTTCCATCTGTCCTCCCAGGTGGGCAACAAAGACATAAGCACACTGGGTAGTACTATTCATACCAAACACAAGTGCCAGTGAGCACCCTGTGAGTGTGTACACCCAGGAGACGGCAGTGGCCGCACCAACACTGACCTCTGCTCTCAGCTGAGGGCCAGTGGTCCTCACAGTGTCACAGTGAAGTACTGGGTGGAAATGCTAGAGAATGGGGACACTAGCAGGGTAGCATAAAAGGAATTCATAAAGAACAATACTCAAAAGAGAAATCAGAAAGAACTTGGACAACCCTCACATCAGTAGACTGGACCCCACAAGTAGACATATAAAGTTAGGCATAGTGGCTCAAGACTGCAATCCCAGCACCCAGGGGGCCCAAGCAGGACCTTGCAAAGGTCAAGGCCAGGCCAAGCCACAAAGTGTCTACAAAAGCAAAACAAACAAACATATAAATTAACACAGGGCTGGAGGTTTTCTATAGGGCAGAATACCTGTCTAGTATGTGACAAGACCTTAGACATCATTCCCAGCACTATTAAGAATAAGCCACCATAGAATTAAAATGGAGCCTGGGGGCTTGGGATGTGTCTAGATGGCAGAGTTTGAGGTCAACACATGTGAAGCCTTGGGGCCAATCCCAATACCACCCTCCAAAAGGGCTACAAGTTAGAAAACAGATCGAATTGTACAAACTGTACTTCAGGAATCCAGTCCTGTAGGATGATTTAAACGGAAGCTGCAAGACACTGCAATTTCTCAGATGTACCAAAGATAAAAAGTTTGAAGCACTGTAATTAATATATTAAGTTATCAGCACCTACATATAAATTAAGCAATCCCACTCAGAAAAAAAAAAAAAAAAAAGTAAAGGCCCTACCTATTCTAAACTAAGCGTGGTAGCACACACCTATAATTCTACTCTGGAGACAGAGATGGAATGATGATCACAAGTCCCAGAACAGCCATGACTACAGAACAAGGCCCTGCCTGCCCCAAGCAGGCAAGCAAGGGACCAAAGCCATTCTAAAGCCAAGAGTCTACAGTCCTATGTTCATCTCTGTATGCATAGCACTCTGGAGAGTGACCTTATCTTCTGTAGACAGTTTACAGAGGGAACTCCTGAAGACTTCATCGTTACATAAAAAGCTGCGCCAAGCGCGCCACATGAACGGGAAACTGAGTGCAAGCACAGCAGAGCTGAAAATGAGGCAGCCTTTCCCACACACTTCACACAAACTCTGGACTACTTACTTGAATAGAGAAAAAGCCACTGTCATCCATATTTCCAGAAGGCTGCTGTTCAATTTTCATGGCCAGTTGTGCGCAGACGGGGATGGGAAAAGGATTAAAAACTGCCATTAGTGTGCACATTTAAAAGAACACGCTGGACAGTCACATTAGCCAGTGAAGAGCGGAGTTATAATTAACAAGTCAGGCTCTTAGGGGAGAACGGCTCCTCTTCCTCCTCTGAAGAGCACCCACATTTTAAGAATAAAATGGGATTCGGTGAGTCTGAAATCAGTACCTGTAAAAATGTGCGATAGTCTTCACTGGTAACTCCTCCTTCTGCCATCCTCATCCTTTCTTCTTCATCTAGCTGGTGTGCAATTGAGGATAACTCCACAGGGCTAAAATATTCTCCTTGCAATAAATTATTCAGGCAGTGCTGAGCACAAAGTGAGCCTTCTTGCTAGTATTTAAGAAAAAAAAATTCAATTGTGATTAAGTGGATCTGTACAGTGTCCACTAGAAAATGCAATTACTAACTTTTTAATACGATCAAAACAGACCTTACAAGCCTTAGCCAAAGCTGAGTTCACTAGTGTACACATTTTCATTGTCATGTTTATTTCACAGTTATTTAACTATAGGAAAAAAAATGAAGAATGGTTTACAGTATAACTTCATCTCTCCAATCTCATAGAAGCCTAAAAACTACCCTATAAAAACATTTAGCCTTTTGAAGTTTTCAGTATCTACAAGAATTTATCTTTTGAGATTCCATAGCAAATTACTACTGCAAAAAGGGAGTGTTAAGCCCTAAGAACATTCATTCTTTTAACAAGATAGTTGCTATTTGACCTTAAAAGACTGTCTTTTGAAATTCAAGAACTGGTTTAAGTGAGAATAGTTTTTTCTCATGTTAAGACCCACAGTTCTAGAGCCAACTCTGCAGATTCATTCCAAGTAACGTACGGAGGAAAACTGTCCCAAGCTGAGATAGTCCAAGTCCGTAAGTGGGCAAGCTAGCAAGGGGAACTGCAGCCAAGTTAAGCTCCCTAAGAGGTCATTAGCATCCTTCTTATGGAGAGCGGGCACAATTTCCCATGGGCCCCGGGATGTCTAATTGCTAGGTAGTTGGCTTTCATATACAACTGCACAAAACCCACATGCAAATCCAGACTGCCTAACACTGTGCAGCTTGCTTGTCACTCTCCTGGCTCTACAGTATTGCTTTCCTAAGCTACAGGAAAAGAAGGGTAACTCATGAGTGGAGGAGTCATGTGAACACAGACCTAAACCTGCCATTCTGGGAGGTGAAGGCAGATGGGAGATCACTTCCTACTGTCACCTCTGGCCCTCTAGAGGGCCAATAAGGCCTACTGAACTCAACCTGCCTGGTATAATGAATGCATCCTGGTCTGAGCTATGTTACGTGGCAGATGATCACTCCAAAGAGCACCTTACAAGATGCATTTTATTCCCTAATGAATCAATGTTAGAGGAACAAAATGTAACTGCTGAAGCAGATATATATGTCTGTTATGGTGTAGGAAGGTAGAGTTCAGAGAGTTTGAGTCTACCACGGAGCTAGAACAACTTATCTCCATAGTCTGCCAAAGAATGTTGCCCATTCCTAGACTGGCTTGGAGCAAGGGTTAAGTATCCCTTCAAGCTGTAGTCACATGGTGACAGAATTCTTTGTCTCTGCCTCTTTTTCCTTCTACTGTTGATCAACTGCTAGGAGCAACGTCACTGAATACTGTCTACTGGGAGGTAAAGACAGATTGTTCTGCTTATATCTAGTGCAAATACAACCATTTCACAAAACAGACGAGTGGCTAAAAATATGCAAAAAGATGCTCAACTTCATTTGTCATCAGGGAAATATATATCAAAAGTACAACATGAGGCAGGAGATGGCTCAGCAGGTAAAGGTGCCTACTGTCAATTCCCAGATACTACTGTAAAAAGAGAGAACTGTTGGTATATTGTTCTTATGGAATGTATACAATTTACCCTTGTTCATTCAAACGCTGATTTTTCTACCCCACTATCTGATTTCAATCCAGACATTGCATTGTGATGCTTATTCTAAGCATCACCGGTCTCAAGTTTGTGTAACCATGCCACCATTTGTTCTCTATTTTGTCAATTAAACATCCAGCCAGTGCTGAGCAATGGAGAGAACAGGGTCGGACATCCTGGTTTGGAGAGGAGAAGGAAGCAAATGGGAGGAGTCAGAGAGGAGAGATCCGAAGAAGAGGACTTAGAACCACAAGGAGAGAGGAACCGGACCTAAGATATGACTAAAAGCAAGTATAATGTGGGAAATCTGAATGGAGGAAACTAAACAGGCTTGAAGGTTTAGGACGGAGTATTCATTGCCCAGCATTGTGCTCTAGGTTAACTAAATACATCCTAGTCTCTGTGTGGCGATTTGGGTCTACAGCTGGTTTAGGAATAACCGTTGTTTAACTAAAAGATAAATCAGTAATAAATATTATTAATCCACAACAAAGAACTGACTCCTGAGTCCACGCACACCTGGCCATGTATGTGCCTGCATTCGCATGCACACCACATACAACACAACTAAAAATATATATTTTAAATATTACAGTTATTAATTGGTTGGAGAGGATGCAGGATGGCAGAGGAAAACTTGCAGGATTCAATTTTTTCCTTCCACTGTAGAGGATTTTTAATTTAGAATGTGCCTGCTCTGGCAAGAGATCATACCCAAGACCTTCCAGGTCTGTGTGATCAGGCTATAATACAAACACGACTTTAATACAGGAGACAGGCAAGCAGATCTGAGTTCAAAGCCAGCCTGGTATAGAGCAAGTTTCAGGTAAAGAAAAGCTTAGGTCCAGGTGTGGTAGCACATGCCTTTAATCCCAAACAATGAGGGTAAAGTTAGTTTGTAGAAGGAATCACCCATGTTTGAAAGTGATGTCTAATTGAGTGGCAGAAAAAGTGATGAATCAGAGAAGATCTGACAGAACAGGATATGCCAACTCTCATGAGGAGAGGAAGGAGAAGCTACTTAGGGGGCAATGCAGAGAGAGAGGAAGAACAGTAATAGAGAGACAGGTTCCAAGAGAGAACTCAGGTGAAGACAAAATGAGCCAGAGAGGGAGAAGGAATCTGCTCGAGTTAGTTTGAGGCCAAGCAGAGCAGTACAGAGACCGACAGAAAAGCCAGACTGAATCAGTCGGCTGGGAGAGGAGTTTGTTCCCAAACAGCTGAGTTGAACCAGACAGCTTTGAGCTCAGTAAAGAACAAGAAAGGGTGAGCTTACTCAGTCATAAGTCTCAGAGCCTAAAAACATTCTAGGCCTAGATTAGATTCCACAGAGGATAGAAACTTCCTATCCTCTGTGGAATAGACTAGGCCTAGGTTAGCAGACAGAGGCAATCAGCCTTGGAGACAACCACTGAATCGGGAGAATAAAAGTTCCTTTTACATGCCACAATGTGGGTCCTAACGATGAACTTAGGTTACAAGGTTTGGCAGTAAGTGCCTTTTTACTTTCTGAGCTATCTTGCCAGTGTCTAAAAACATTTTTGTTGTTGTTTTTGAGACAAGGTCTCACTTAGTAGCTCTGGCTGGCCTGGAATTCACTATGTAAACCAGGCTGGCCTCAAACTCACAGAAATCTGACATCTGTCTGCTTCTGACTCCAAGTGTTCAGATTAAAGGTGTGCATAACCACACCTAGCTAATAGAAAGTACATTTATGAAAGAAAAACTCACATAGTGTTAATACAATGCAGTCTCCAGAACACCTATAACAGTGGGGAGGTTTAGAATTAGAGAAAACTGTTGTCACAGAAGCGAGTATCAATTAGTGAAACCACTCCACAACAATCTTCTGTTCCAAAGCTTAACATCTGTGTGCTCTGTGATTAGATACATACACTGCAAATGCATCAACCAAAACAGTACAAAACAAGTTCCAGGCCAGTCAGGGCTACAAAGTGAGACCCTGTCTTAAAAACATAAAAATTACAGAAGAGTTGTATACTTTAAATAACGCCACATACCTTTTAGATCAGCGGTTCTCAATCTTCCTAATGCGGAGACCCCTCAATAAACAGTTTATTTGTGGTGATCCCCAATCATGTTATGAATCATAATGTAAATATCTGATATGAAGCTGGTCTTAGGTGACCCTATGAAAGCATGTTGGACCCACATCTCCTGCAAAGGGGGTCGTGACCCACAGGGTGAGAACTGCTGTTTTAGACACTCATGGGCCTCTCCCTGACACCACAAGCACCAGGCTTGCTCAGCTAGGAATTCTGGTGCTCCCACTGCGTCAGCAACCTGAAGAGCTGAGATTGTAGGCACATGCCATGTAGTTAACTCCATCCATTCAAACATTATCTCCAACTGGAGATCTACCAGTAGACAACTGCTTTTATTTATTTACTGGTTGGTTGGCTGGTTTTGTTTCTCAGACAAGGTTCTCTCTACCTAGCCATGACTGTCCTGGAATTCACTATGTAGAACAGGCTGCCCTTAGGCGTGTGCTACCATGCTGACAACTGCTTTTATATTCTAGCTTAGTAATACTCAAGGAGGTTAAGTGTAAAATTAATTCCAAGAGGAAGTGGTTGATGTCTTTTCTAGTTGATTCTCTGGTTAAAGGCAAGTCATGGAAGGGAAAAGAATTCTCTGGAAAATAGCAATTATGCTCAAATATTCCCAGAATAGCCTCCTAAATAATAACCTCAAGTTACAGGTGCGTTCTTGAAATATGCCACTGCTTCAGTAAGCGTTCATTTGCTGTGAATATTTAAGGTGGTGATAAAGGCAAATGTACTGTCCAGGACTGGGGCGATACCTCAGTCAGTAAGTGTTTGCCACACTGACCTGCGTTCAATTCCCAGAACCCGAACTGAAAGCCATGCATGGCGATACCCATTTGTGACTACAGTGCTGGGCAAGTGGAATGGGCAGATACCTGGGGATAGTCAAATTAGCCCACCTGCGAGGAACACCACCAAGGTTGTCCTCCTGCCTCTATATGCATACGCACACGTGCGCTCCCTCACCCATGCGCACGTACACACGCACGCACCCACACACTCACGAACCCACACATGGCAACTGTACTTCTAAAGTATTTATTAAGTATGTACACATGATAATACCTAAGTGACTTCTGGGTAAACAGGGGTGTGTAGGGGTGTGTCTGTGTGCATGTCTGTATATGTGTTCTCATATACACGTGTGCAGGCAGATGTATACATATGTGTGCTTAAAGGTCAAAGTCAGATGTCTTCCTCAGCTGCTCTCCACCTTATTTTTTGAGACAGTCTGTTAACTGAGCTCACTGATTCAGCTAGACTGGCTAGTCAGCAAGCACCAGACAGCCACCTGGCTCCATTCCCTGCTTCCAAGATCCAGGGATATGGACACACACTGCCCTGACTTGACGTGGTTGCTGGGGAGCTGACCTCAGGTTTGCAGCTTACGCAGCAGGCACTTTACCAGCTGAGGCCTAGCCCCAGCACTTTGTTACCCTAGCACTTTGGCTATAATGGTTCTGTAGTTACTTGCACTGAAATCTGCTCAATAAGGAACAACTGATACTGTAAAGGGATGGGGGAGCTGGAGAGATGGCTCAGCAGTTACAGGTACTGGCTGCTTTTCCAGAGGACCCAGGTTCAACTCCTAACTACTCAACCCTCTGCCATTCCACTTCCAGGATATCTCCCCACCTCGGTAGGCACTGGGGACACACAGCATGCACAGACATACACGAACACCCAAATTTCTTGTTTGTTTTTCAAGGTAAGTGTTTCTCTGTGTAGTCCAGGCTGTCCTGGAACTACCTCTGTAGACCAGGTTGTCCTCAAACTCATAAGAGATTCCCCTGCCTCAACTTCCAGAGTGCTAGGATTAAAGGTGTGCACCACCACCACCAGCCAGACAAAAATACTTTTTTAGAAATGCATTAAGTGCCCTATGTTAAGCAGCTGAGGTGCCTATTTAACATATCAAGGTGGACCTGGCCTCCAGGTTCTCCCAGCATCCCTCAGTCCCTACCAGTTACAGAGTAGGACTGATATACCCCACCCTCCACCCTGAACATTCCAGCCTAGGGGCTGGGGTGCCCTTCCCCCAAAGGCTCTTCTATAAATATATAATCAGACATTTTGCATACCTGTCCTCTTTTGTATCCTTTTTAACCTTTGGCTGCTGTACTTGGTTCCCCTCTCTCCATTCCCCTCCTCCTTTCCCCACATGGCTCACTGGACTCTCCCAGATGTGTCTGCCTCTGGCTATTCTCTCCCATGTATCTATAATAAACTTAAGTCCTTTAGCATACCTAGGGCCAGTCATGTCCTTTCCTTTCCTTCTTTTTTTTTTTCCCTTCTTTCTTTTTCCATTCACCCTAGTGATGACTCAGTGGGTTAACTTGAAAGCTTGAGTTACATCCCTGGAACCCACACCACATCAAGTTGGAAGGACAGAATCAACTTTATGAAGTTGCCCTCTTTGACGGCCACACAAGCACACAGTAATGAAACGGTTTTTTTTTTTTTTTTTTTTTTTTTTTTTTTTTTTTTTTGTTATTTTTAAGAATGCATGGATGCATGGAAGGGGTCTTACGATGCAGTGTATAAAGTGTTCAAAATCTGACATGTTTCAAATGGATTTGATGCCAACGCCCTTGTTAAATTAATTACAAATTCATGTGTGTGTGTGTGAGAGAGAGAGAGAGAGCGCGCAAGAGTGAGAGTGAGAGCACGAGAGCGCTGGGAGTCATGGCACAGGCCTGAAATCTCCGCACTCGGGAGGCCGAGACAGGACGGAGAGCCTGGAGTCAGCTTGGGCTACAAGAGATCTCGTCACAAATTAACTTGTTCCAGTTCCAAAACACTCAGAAATGTCCTAAGAGCTTTCATTTCATAGTTTCTTACATCACTTTTGTCTTTCCTTTGTGGTGCATGAACTTTATAAATGCTCATTTATAAGTATTCGATAAAACAAAGATCCTTTGCTCCTACCAAACAGCCTCAACTAGCAACCCTCTCTAAACCTAAAACGATTATGAAACATGGTATCATATGCCAAAGTTGTCCTGGGAACACCCAAATGACTGGATAATTGGATGTGAGCATAGACCAGTTTCTCAAGATGTCACAACACTTTTAAGCGTAGTCGCTTAGGAATTAAGGTGAGAAAGAAACTAGCCAGACCACACAGCAGAAAGATTCTAATCTATAATAGCCAAAACAAAGCTGGCCTCCTGGTCCGGAAAAAAAGGGATAGCAAACCAAACCCAAACATCCCGTAATAAAAACTCTTATGACGACTTCCCTCCGCGGTTTCCTACTTTACTTCCTAAGTGCCAGGCCCTTTGATGGGCGAGCCACGGTCACAAATGCAGAAGGACGTGAGACAGATCATCAAGATGGAAGTGCATAAGACATTCCATTATAGAACTGAGTTGAGAGAAAGTTGATTCTGCCAGAGGATGGGCTAGGGGGCGTGGGTGGTCCTCCAGGTGTAGGGAGGCGACTCCCAAGACCAGACCCGGAGAGAGAGGGCAGAAGAAACCCAAAAGGCGTGGCTGGCAAGTGAAGAAGAAGCGACCGCGCTCATCTTCCGGGTGACGTCCCCGCAATGCCCAGCCGGCCCTGGTTACCCGCCGGGTCCTCTGGGGCAAGGGCTCCGGGGGCGCAGGCGGGAGGCTTCCGGAGCAGAGCCCGGGGGGGGGGGGGGGGGGGAAGGCAGGAAGCGCCCCTCAGCCAGCCGGGTCGACACGGGGGCGCTCGGCCCCGCCCTGACCTCCTGAGGCGGCGACGCCGCTCCCCACGCCCGCCGCCGGCCGCGGACGGCTCCCCACCGAACGCCCACACTCACTTTCTCGTGGAAGATGGACTCCATGTTTATTTGTCTGGAGCCAACGGCCCCGGCGCGGAGCAGCCCCCGCCCCCGGCCCCACCCCTCCGCCCCGCCCTGCCCACGTGCCTCCCCCTAACCAATCGCTACTGCGGGCGCACGTCACGCAGCGCGCGGTTCCAGGGAGCGCAGGGCACGTGACCTGGGCGGTGAGTCCGCCCGCGGCGTGCGCGGTGCTGGGGCGCCGCCTGCCGTGCGGAGGAACTTCTCTGCCTCCCGCGCTTCGCTGGACGATCTTGTTATTCTAGGGTTCTAGATGCGGAACCTCGCAGCCAGGTTTTATGTTCCTTTTTTCAATTTTCCACCTTCTTTGGTACTTTCTGCTTAACTGCATGTAATTAATACCTCCCGTTCCACTGAAAACCTCATTCAGGGAAAGGTACTGGTGTAAAAACTATAGCCAATGTTTAGAAGGGCCAATTTATAAGTGCGATTTAACACAGCATCTTTTGGAGCGTGCGTCTGTTATAATATTTTATACAGATGAGGAAAAAGAGGCACGAAGAAATTAGAAACTGCCCCGTGTGCAACATAGTTGCCTGTTGGAATGAATATAGGGTCACCTGGTAAGGACTCTGAAGGAAGAAGAATCCGTTGGAAAGTGAAAAGTTAAAAGATGTTGAGGCGGCGCTCGCTTGGTCGCAGGAGGCGAGGTGTTGATGAAGATTAAGCGTAGTATGGGCACAGATCTTGCACGGTGAAACCATTTTAGGTTCTTTGGAGTCAGCAAGGAAACTGGGTAGGAAGGCTCCTTGCACCTGAAAGTAGAGGAAGGAGTATACGGAGTTGGAGGACAGCTGGGCTATGCCAGCCCGTAGCCTGAGCTACATAGGGCAGTCCTGCGCATCCACCCTCCCAAAAGGAGGAAACAGGCAATTGGAGATTTTTTTTTTTTTTTTAAAGTAGAGCCATGGGATCAAACTAGCATTTTAGAGGATCACAGGGGAACAGAATACTTGAAGATATTTTGGGAAAAATGAAGAGATGATGGCGATCAGGATTCTAGCAGTAATTTGAGGATGAAGAGAGACCACTTTGAAGCTTTAGATAGCAGACCCGGAAGAATTTGGGGAGGAGCTGGAGAGGAGGGGATGTTAGGAAAGACCTGTGGGTTTCTGCAGTAGGCACCACCTATACCAGGAGTAATACACCGATCAGAAACCTTTGCAGAATGAGCAAGAAGACAGGTTTCGTTTTGGGAATAATGAATTTAAACGTCTGTGCATAATACATCAGACCTGGAGTTTACAGAAGCTGTTTTGAGCTGTAGGGTAGGGTGGGACTGGTTGCTATTTAAAAGGTAACTGAAGGGCTGGAGATATGGCTCTGTGGTTAAGAGCAGTTGCTTCTCTTGTAAGGGACCTGTATTTGGTTCTCAGAACTCACATGGAGGCTCACAACAGTTATTCCAGACCCAGGAAAGGATTCCTTTGCTTCTGCAGGCTCCAGGCATACACAGCAATGCATCTACATATACTCATTCACATAAAGTATATTTAAAAAATTAAAACACAAGGTAACTGAAATCATAGAGTGACTATTATCTTAGAGAAAAGAGACTGAAAAGCTCTAGAGCTAAACCCTGAAGATAGAAGGAGTGGGCAAGGAGTGTGCAAATGCTGGTGAATGTAATGAAAAGGAAGACCTAGGAGAGAATGCGTCAGGGACCAGTCAGTGTGGGTGCTGCCAAAAAGTCAAGGGATGCAAAGACTTACAAGAGACTGCTCAGTTTTGTTGCTGTTGAAGTGGTTTTTGTGAGAGTACAAGTTCAAGAAAAGGAAGAGGAAAGAAAATGAAGACTACCAGCGAAGACCAGCTAGCTACTCAAAATGAGGTGCCATATTTTTTGTTAAATATTCTGTATGCAATTTCCTCATGAGATTAAACAGAAATAAAGATGTTCTAGAACATCTTTATTACATCTTGCAAGGAAGCTAGTGAAGAGGTAGAATAATGTAAGAACAGGAAAACATTCCATCTTACAGAGGGACATCTTTAGCTCAGAAAGTGAACAACTCAGAGGCTTCTTGAAGTTCCTGAAACTGACCGGATTCACTAGGTTCCTTCTTCCGAAAGCATATATAAACAGTAAGGGCTACTGAGAGATAAACAGCAGAGTTACCTAGAAGAGGGTCACAACAACTGAACTGACTGGAAGAAGCAGAGACCAGCTAAACTGCCTGAGAGACTCCAACCTGCCGAGCTGCCTGCGAATTCTGCAGTAGAATCCATGTTTCCAGCTTTGGTGAGCTGCCATCGTGCTGGAGTGGGATTTTGGTGATGCAGTAGTCGTTTCTGCCCTTATAAGTAATCTCAAATAAAATTCACTGGTTCAAGTTGGCCTTTGGTGGTATCCTTACTTTGGCCTATCCTCAGTTCTCTGAGGTGAGTAAATGCTTGTTCACAGCTCCCCAGGAATAGTCACACAACATGGGCATAGTGTGTGTGTGTGTGTGTATATATATATATATATATATATATGTATGTATATATATATATATATATATATTTTTTTTTTTTTAAGACACAATTGTTTAAGAGAATTAATGTAGCTGGGCTGCTATAAATACCTGTGCTGAGCCAGGTGTGGCATGCATTTAAATGGCATGCCTTTAATCCCAGCAAGCCAATAGCCAACATCAAGTTAAATGGGGAGAAACTTAAAGCAATTCCACTGAAATCAGGGACAAGAAAAGGCTGCCCACTCTCCATATTTCTTCAATATAGTGTTTGAAATCCAAGTTCAATATAATGTTTGAAGAGCAATAAGACAACTAAAGATCGATCAAGGAGGTACAAATTGAAAGAAAGTGAGAGTATCTATATTCACAGCTGATAATGATAGTATACATAAGTGGCCCCCAAAAATCCACCAGGGAACTCCTACAGCTGGTAAACACCATCAGCAGCCAGCCGAGATAGTGCACACCTGTAATCCCAGCACTCAGGGAGGCAGAGGCAGGCGGATCTCTGTGAGTTAAAGGCCAGCCTGGTCTGAGTCCAGGACAACCAAGACTACATAGAGAAACCCTGTCTGGAAAAACAACAACAACAAAACAAGGCCAGACATTGTAGAATTTTAATTCTGAACATGCTGCTCTGGCAAGAGATCATACCCAAAGACCTTGTAAATTTCTGTGATCCACTGGAATACAGACACACCTTTAATCCCAGAGACAGAGGAAAGCAGATCTCTGAGTTGAAGGCCAGTCTGGTATAGAGCAAACTTCAGATAAAGAAAACCTTAGGTCCAGGCATGCCGTTAATCCCTAATCCCAACACTCAGGACAGAGGCATGGAAATCTGAGTTCCAGTTCAAGGAGTTCAGCTGAGTCAGGGAGATGAGAGGCAGTTCAGTTTGTGGAATTCAGAGGCAGTTTCTACCTGTAAAGTTTTGCAGAGAGAGGTTGAAGAGAGAACAAGCCAGAGATTAAGGAGCCAGAAGATTAGAACAGATTGCTAGAGTTAGTTTGAGGCCAAGCAGAACAAATCGGTCAGCTTGGAAAGGCAATTGAGCCAAACAGTTGAGTTGAACCAGCTGGCAGGCAGAGATCAGAAAGAGCTGGAAGGGGTGAGCATATTCAGCAGTAAGTACCAGAGGCTGAAAACATTCTAGACCTAGATTGCATGGAGGCTAGAAGCTTCCAGGACTAGGTCTAGGTTAGCAGGAAGAGGCAGTAAGTCTCCTAGATGAATGTTAGTGTTACAAGACAATAACAAAGAGGTTGATTTTTGCTCAGGATTCTGAAGTTCCAAGATCAAGGGCCACATCCAGTGTTGGCCTTCTTGTTGCCAGTCCTGATACCTGGGGTAAGGTATTACTTAGCAAAGGTACATCTCTTAAAAGGCCACCAGGAATTAAATAACAGATTCAGTACCCTGAAGTCAAGTCTAATCCTAATCACCTCTCAAAAGCCCTACTATACATAATATTCTGTTTCCATTCTTTTAATGTTTCACAACGGAGACTGAAAGACCCCTGCCTCACCCTAAGTTAAACATAGCTAACGCCATTTTGTGAGACACCACTGTTTTGTAAAACTCTGAAGGCCAGATGAGAAACTGAAAAATTACTGAGAAACCTAGCTGTGTCACCCACTTGGGGTATCTGCGGTCAGGCTGCCCCAGTTGAGCTAAAAACAACTTGTTGTGACCACCCTCATGGGATATCTGTCAGAGATTGTTCCAGCTGAGATAGGGAAAAATAAAACAACAGGTGGCGGGCCACGTCAAGGGGTCATCATGACCATTTTGACCACCCAGTTCCTGGAATCTTGGTGTCTCTGCCAAACCTTGACACAAATCATGGTCTCATGTAAACGTACCAATCAGCCCCCTGTAACCATGCTTCTCGCTTCTGTACCCACGCTTCTGCTCTAAAACCCTATAAAAACCCCAGCTTTTCACCCAGGGGGCGCGCAAAGTCCTCCGAGTGACTCTGCTGCCCCGGGTACCCGTGTATCCAATAAAGCCTCTTGCTGTTTGCATCCGAACGCCTGGACTCGTTGATCCTTGGGCTGGGGTCTCTCAGACGAAAGATACCCTCCGGGGATCTTTCAGAGACTAAACTTGAACACGTGGAACTCCTAGGAGACACTGAAACCATAACATACCTAGCTTGAAAAGTATGAGGAGCAAAAAGTTATGGCTTAATAGAACTATAATCCAAAGAGAGAAACAAAACACTAATAACAAGTGGGAAACCTATGTATACAGTGATGTGCTCAACTGTAGTTTTTGGGTCTTTATTTTTTTAATTTTTTTGTTTATTACAATTTATTCACTTTGCATCCCAGCTGTAGCCCCCTCTCCTCCCTTCCTGAGTCCACTGGTAGGGGAGGTCCTCCTCCCCTTCCCGCTGACCCCAGCCTATCAGGTCTCATCAGGACTGGCTGCATCGTCTTCCTCTGTGGCCTGGTAAGGGGAGATTTGGGTTTTGAGACCCGGCTTTGATAGCCTTGGCTGGACCAGAACTTGCTGTGTGAATCAGGCTGATGTTGCATTTGCAGCAGTTGTGGTTCCACCTCCCAAGTGCTAAGATGACAGGTTTGCCTCACCACACCTGGCCTCACAATAGCCTTTCTTCCCTCCCAGACAGGATTTGACTGTGTAGCCGTGGCTGTCCTGGATTTGCTTTGTAGACCAGGTTCGCCTCGAACTCAGATCCACCTGCCTCTGCTGTAGGCTTTGACTTTCTTAAGCGCTTCTACCTCCCTTCCAACCCCACAACACTGGGTAGGAGAGAATGGTTCGTGGGGACTGGGGTGGAGTTTTCTTTGCTACTTCCTGCTGGGTAGGGTCGTAGGAGTCTTTTGGGGGCAACACCAATAGCAGTCAGAAAATCCAGGAGTCCAGGTAACCAGCAAACAGCAAACACAGCAGCAGGACAAACCAGCAGCAAGCAGTCCGCCTCCAAGCTACGTTTATACCACTCAAAGTCCTCAGAATTCAGTTCATTCCAGCTGGCAAAGACTACCTTCCGCATAAAATACTTAACAGGTGTGGACAAACTAAAATCCCCAACTTGGAATTATAACAAAAAACATGTTTTCATATCATAACCCAAAATGTCCACAACACTGCCTCCCTGCGCAGGGATCATAGGCGTGCACACCACGCCTAGTAGCCATTTTCTAAGTCAGCTTTGCCCCATACTTGAAAATTACCTCAAAAATAAAAAGTATTTAAATGGTTACCTCCATAAAAAATGTAAGAATCACACTTTAAATTCATCTAAATCATGTTTTTATTTCTTTTACAACTTTTAAAATGTGATCATTCAGTGATTTAACCAGTCTTTACTTCCAAGTAACTTCTTCATTGGACCTCAGTTCCCTGTGTGAAAATAAGGAAAGGAAAAACAGTAAATAAACTATTAAAAACGTATATTTTTAACTTTTATGTCTGCGCATGCCTTACAGTGTGTGCACAAACTCTGTGCGTGCAGGCGCTCTTGAGGCACCGGATCCGTCTGAGCTGGAGTTACATGCAGTTGTAAGCCACCATGTTTCTGCTGGGAAGCACACCTGGGTCCTCTTTAAAAACAGCAAATGCTTTTAACTACTAAGCATCTCTCCAGCTTCCATGTAAATAAATGTTTATGAAGGGGCCAGAAGTTTATGTTTACATTCTATCAAATAGACTTAAAGTTTTATATTAGATTCATCTATTCATCCAATTGTCAAACTTTTACTGTCTTTAAAGAAGTTGTAATTTCTGTACTTCTAAGTGTGCTTAATGGTTTCTAGATCCACTGCAGCTTATTTCATCTTTCTTAAAATACTGGACTTTTGAGACATACCTGCATAGTTACATTGGATGCTACTCAGTCTTTTTAGCTCTTGAGTGTCTTCCAATCCAAATAGCTATACCCACTGCCAGATGGCTACACTATCATGTCTGAGTAGCCATGTTGCCCAGGCCCATGCAGTTGCTTGATGTTACCACTCAGTCCCCATATGTATGAGTGATGCTAAGAATACAGCAGGACTGTTCAGCTGTATCAGGTCAGTATAAGGTAAGATATATGAAAGTGTATATGATAAGTTTGGGGCAGCTGGCTTAAGTTTTGTTTCTACATTAAAATAAACTCTTCAGTTTTAAAAATTCTGGCTTTCTATAGGGGAGGCCTTAATAAAAGGGCAACAGTAAAGGGCAATGAAAAAAATTGCATATTTTCTGCCATTTGCAAAATCTAGACTTACATACATGAAAACAGAAGGGAGTCTATTTGGAGAGGAAGGGAACCTGTGATAGGGTGAAGAGTACAAACATGTGCATGTACAAAGATGTCATGAGGGCGATGGGTAGTGGCTGGGTGGTTATGAGTGCTCTAACACAGCACATCCGCACTTGGAGGCTCACAGCTACCTCTAACTCCAGTTCCAGGGGAGCTGATCCCCTCTTCTGGCCTTTGAGGGTACCCAAACACAACGTGTAACATACACACAAATAAAAACAAGTTAAAAAGTCATTTTATACATTAGCTGAAAAGTTAATAAAAGAAAAAATGAAACTTTAAAAGCTCTGAAATGGCTAGATCATAAACTAAAGATTGTTTTCATTCTGGAGGTTAATCATACACTTTCATCCAATGATTAAGTAACAAACCTGAAGCATCACTTGACTGTTAACCATCAGAGTGAAAAACAAACTCTTCTTTGTAACAAGAGACAAAACTCCCCAGAGCTGCCATGAACTAACCTTTGAAAAAGCATGCTCTTATTCCGGAAGGCAGTCAGCTTTTCATCATCCCTCCTGTCTAGATAACATCCAAAGATAAAGCCCGCGGGGACAAGTATGTGAACCCAGTGGTCACGAATCAGCTGAAATAAGTTCATGATGACTGCCAAGACAGAAAAGAAATTGAAATGCACAATACAACTGCCTTGGATATAATGAAATAAAGGTAGATAGGCATTACTATGGGCTGGAAATAATACACTGAGGAGGGTCTAAGGGTGGAAGGATGGATAAAATCAGTGCATGCTAAATGAACGAGAATGTCATTACTGTGTACAATTAATATGATAATAAATAATTACCTTTTGGTTTGGGTTTGGAGATTTTTTTTTTTGAGACAGGCTTGATCTTGCTACAGTTATATGCTGGAACCTACTGTGTTCAAGGCTGACCTTAAACCTGTGCTCCCGACTGCCTTCCTAGTGCTGAGATTACAGGTGTAAACTACCACACCTGGCTTAAAACAATTGCATCTGAAACAGGAAGATAGCTGTGGCATGACACATGTTAAAAGCATAAGTCTCTTTAGGTTTTCGTGGCTTCAGAATGTATAATTGAAAAACTGGAGGTGGTAGCACACATCTTTAATCCCAGCACTCAGGAGGCAGGAACTCTGAGTTTGAAGCTAGCCCTTGTGTACAGATCAAGTTTCCAGGACAGCCAGGGCTACACAAAGAAACTGTCTCAAACAAAACAAAACAACAAAAACAAACAACTTAGTTGAAGATTAGACAATAACGGTTAGTGTAAAGTTCACTCTACTCATACCAGTGTGATGGTTCGTTGGATGAAGGCGCTCACTGCCAAGCCTGAGTGATTCCCAGGACGCACATACATGGTTGATGGAGAGCACTCCCACAGCTTATACTCTGACCTCTGTGTATGCATGCATGCACACATACACAAATAAACACCAAAATGTGGGGCTGGAGAGATGGCCCAGTGGTTATAGAGCACTGTCTGCTCTTCCAGGGGCCCTGAGTTCAATTCCCAGCAGCCACATGGTGGCTCACGACGTCTATAATGAGATCTGGTGCCCTCTTCCAGTATACAAAAGAACATGAGGATAAAGCACTCATATTAAACAAACAAACAAACAAACAAACAAAAAAACAATAAAATGTTATACTGCATTTATGTGCTCTGCTTATACAGAGTAATTCTTAAACTAGGGAATCTGGCCTTTCCTCCAGAATGAGGCTGGAATGATAGAGCCATTACTTCTGGCATTTTAAGAGATTGATTTGGTCTGGCTTTATTCAGAAAAGAAGAGATGAGTTAGGACTATGGGGCTCTTGCCACATACGGGCTCTTACAGATTCCAGAACAACTCACCCACTGGTTTAGATACAAATGCTTCTTGGAGATATAAATGTAAGCACAGCCAATCTTACTTTATTTCCTGTAAGACAACAGTTCTCTTGGCTTTAGTAAGTAGCATCATTTATATTTACAGTATTTTTAAATGTAAATAGTATTTATATTTAAAGCTTGAAATGCTAAACAAGGGCTCACCAAGTGAACTGATTACCTTTGTAAACTTAGGCCAGTCCCCACCCCCCAAGGGAGGAGCAGTCCTGTTAGGCCACAGAGGAGAGCTTTGCAGCCAGTCCTGAAGATACCTGATAAAACAGGATCAGATGAATGGGGAGGAGGTCCCCTCTATCAGTGGACTTGGCAAGGGGCACGGTGGAGAGGAGGGAGGGAGGGAGGGACTGGGAGGGAATGAGGGATCGGGACACGGCTGGGGTACAGAGTTAATAAAATGTAACTGATAAGAAAAAAATAAAATACAAAAAAAAAAAAAAAACCAATGCACTATTTTTACAGAAAAACACAGCTGTGATAGGGCACAATAATATATTAATTTACATCATGTAAAATATTTTTTTCAGAGCCTTTGGAACATATAAAGACCTAAATAATGTTTGCAATGATGTGCATATCTATTCTTGATGAGAGTTTATTTTTAAAACAGACACATTCAAGAGAAAGAGTTTGAACAAAATATTTCTAAAAATAATTTTTACTAAGATATTGTTGGCATTTATGTTAAAATATAAATTTGATAAACGAAGAACAAGGGAAATGTAAATCTTTTTTTTGTCAGTAGAAGTTTTATGGATTTTTTAAAATTTTTTTATTAATTACACTTTATTCATTTTGTATCACCCCATAAGCCCCTCCCTCCTCCCCCCCTGATCCCCCCCCCCCCCCCCTTCCTGCATGCACGCCCCCCCCCCCAAAAAAAAAAAAAAAAAAAGTAAACTTAGGCCAGTCAAGTATGAGACAATAAAGACCTTTGGTAAAAATAAATTACTTTAAAAGCACTCAACTGCAAAATACTAGTCAATGTCTGTGTTCAGGAGACTGTGTTTAAGTTTGACAAGCTTGGCAGTCACCTACACTTCCTGTCCTTATCAAAACTTAAGGGCCAGAAAGATGGCTCAGCAGGTAAAGGCACTGGCATCAAGTCTATGGACACAAGGTTGATTCCTGGGCCACGTGATGGAAAGAGAGAGATGACTACTTGAAAGTTTCCTCTAACCTCTGTGCCAGCAAGTGTGCATACACACACAAATAAATGTAAAAAAGAAAAATAGTTGTTGACCTCATTTACACAGCTGTTAGATATCATTTTGCACTAGTAAGTACTTGTTGATCCCTAGCTCACAGCAATTTAAAATAAACTCACAGCCACCTGTAGACTATGAGCCACTACTACGGCATTCTAAGAAATGGGTTTAGTCTGCATCTGTTTAGCAGAGATGAGGTAGGTCTATGGGCCTCTTGCCACACCACTGCCTGGTGCTACAGGAGTAGAAGGAGGAAGAAAGGAGGAGGAGGGATGAGAAGAAAAGAAAAAGAAGAGAAGAAGCAAAGAAGAGAAGAAGAAAAGAGAAGACCAGCACATGGGAGGCTGGGCGTGGTGGCACGAGATTTTAATCCCAAAGTCAGAAGAAGCAGGGGCATCATCTCTGTGAGTTCTAGGACAGCCAGGCCTACACAGAGAAACCTTTTCTCAGAAAGAGAGAGAGAGAAAGAAAGAAGAATGAGAGAAAGAAAGGAGGGAGGGAGGGAGGGAGAGAGAGATAGAGAAAGAAAGGAACAGAACAGAACCTGGGTTTCCTTTCCTCTTGTGGGGACTAGGGAGTGAGGAGGAAGAAAATGTTAGGGGTTGCGCTTGGCTTTGTGCATGCTGTGTCACAGAGATACACACTCTGCCTTGGTTATCTTTTAATACTAAAGTGATCCAAATTTTACGGCAAGCTTCTAATTTGCTGGCTTCAAACGCCTTTAATCCCAGCACCTGGGAGGCAGAGGCAGGAGGATCTCTATAATGAGTTGGACGCCAGCCTGGTCTGCAGAGCGAATTCCAGGACAGTCAGAGCTACAGAGAACCCTCTCTCGAAAAATCAAAACCACATTTTTCCCTAACGTTTCTCTAACGCAATATTCTTTCCCCTTCCAAGAAGTACACAGAAACTGGTGTGTCTTCCTTTGGTGAATCACTCTGGATTCACGTTAAAACGTAGACATTGAGAGCTATAACTGGACCCCACTGTACGTTATACGAACTACTCACAAAGTGTCACCTAAGCCATGGAAAAGTGAATGCACGAAGCAACGGAACCCTTGAGATCGTGACATACACGCTGGAAACCAAGCCTAAAGCTATGTTTTCAAAAGGCAAATGGGTAAGTGCGGGTTTCGGATTTAGGAGTGAAGCTGGGCGAGGAGACAGATGTCCGCGCCTGGGGGAATGTGCGCGGCTTTTGAGTAGGAGCCGCGTTCCCTGCTTGTGGGATCCTGGCTCGTCCTCCCCAGTCCCGCAAAGGTAAGGTCAGGGTTCGTCCCCCAAAGACGCTGCGGTTAAGGCAGCAGAGGAGCAGCCTTGGTAAAAGGTGTGGGGCGGGCAGCGCAGCGGTCACCTGAAGGCCACCCTGGTGTCCCCTCCACGCGAGCCTTCCCCAGAACCCTCCCGCCGGCACCACCGCGACCCAGACCCACCTGCAGCTCGGTGCAAGCGCGACCCCACAACCAAGGGCAGCGGCAGGGAGCTAGGCCACCGGCGCCGGCGGAAGCCGTGACCTCGGGAGCTGCCACTCGCCGCGCCAACCCTCGGGAGAGGGGCGGACATTAAATCAGGGCTCCTCTCTCGTCTCACGAGCGGGTCCTCTAGTTTTTAAGTTTTCAGTAGTCATGACTCGTTCTGAATAAGACTTGGATCCAAGCTGACAAGATGTGTGAGCTTCTGCACTGTCATCGTTCCCAACCCGGCCCGCCACACCCCTACAGATGGTGTCGCCCGGGTCGTCCCCGCCTCAGCCGCTCGCCCTAGGCCCAAGATGGCGGCCACCACACAGGGCCTCCCCGCTCTCTGCCGCTGAGCCGCGCGCTAGTTCTGCTCGCCTCGAACCTGCGTTCCACGAGGGGTTGGGAGGAGCGGCGGACGGTGCTGGGGGAGACTGACCTGGCAGGTGAGGACGGCCGAGAGGAAGCCTTCGGGTTGGGGAGGAGGTCCTCGGGGGATGGTTCCCGCGTCGGCCCGGTGTCGCCCGGACGCGCTCCCGCGGTTTCGGTTGTGACCGGCTCCGTGGTTCCTGGAATAAGCGTTCCGCAAGGGAAAGAGAAGTGACTCTAACAGGGGCCGAAACCTCGGGGTGTGTGTGGCGCTCCTGTGGTCCCTGCGTTGCTCCTTGCCGTCCCGATCCTGTCTGTTTGCTCCGACCTTTCATCTTCTCGGAGCTAAGAGTTAATCTGAGCCCAGCCTGGGCTCCTGCGGGTGCCACGGTTAAACCCCCCCCCCCCCCCAGCCTTCCCTCTGCGCCTCTCCCCATTTTGGGTTCAGAGACCACGGGGCCAGATGTCCTCTTAGCTCCTTAACTTGAGAGACCCTTAAGGTGCTTTTGCCACGCCATGTTAGAATTGCCGTAGCTCTCAGCGTTTCCACAATCAGTGTTTCCCAAGACGCCATTCTCATTTTCCTTGTTTACATACTTTTCAGGAAACCGCTTGTCAGGCCATTTCTAACCCCAGTAGTCTGGCCCCTGGGACCTGGAGAACTTAAGCCAACATCTGTGTTTACCGTCTAACCTTTAATTTTACAATTCTCTTGCCTGTTTGAAAGCCTTTCTTTACCTGAACGACTAAAGAGACTGTCTCACCCTGTAAGCCCCAGGATTAGTCCAGGATTGAATTTTGCATACTTCTCCTTGGCTGCCCTCTAACATTCACGATCATTCCCGAGAAAGCAGCATCTGAAATGTATTCGGGATGAAGCAGAGACAGTCAAAATCACTACCCTGGTGGAATTTCTGATACGATGGGTTCACTGTTTTCAGCATATGTTTATATTACTGTGAACACTGCTTGGTTTGGGCGATACAAAGATGATCACTTTAAGTAATCAAGCAACCCACCTTACCTGGGAACAGTGAAAAGGCTATGTCTGAGTTGGATCAAAAGGAATTTGCAAAACCAGGGAGAGCAAAGACACTCCTGGATGCTGAACAGGGATTAAAAACTTGGGAAGGTTGGACATTGTTGGGGAGATTTAAAAACAAAAAACTGAAAGGGTGGTTGGTGAAGATTGAAGGTACAAATTGGAGGTTGAGATCAGCTTGTGAGGGATCTTGATTTCCAGAGCAGGAGTTCGGATTTTATTAAGCAATTAGCAGGAAACTAGTGTGCATAGTTACAGGGAGTGGCCATGAAGGGTTTCTTTTTCTTAGGAGGGTCTGGCTGATAATGGTATGGAGGACCAACTTGAGACAAGAAAACTAGATGGAACCACAGTCATTCAAGTAAGGCAGCAAGCACTTGCATTGAGGCAGGAGAAAAAAGACTGAGAAATGAAGTCAGTGCTTCATGGGACTCCACTAGTGACTACCAATTTGCTGGTAAAGGTGGCTAGTTTTTAGTCTGGTTGGTGATACCATTAAAATCAGTCTGAGACAGGCACATAAAAACGGGGTGCCAACCTTGCGCTTTAGCTATGGCAAAAACACAGTGTTCCCCAGCCTGAAGCATTGATTTTGGAGTCTAGACCTCTGCTATTACAGTAGCCACTAGCTGCATGCAGTATGGAGCTCTTGAAATGAGGTTGGTTTGAACAGAGATGAACAGGGAAAGTGCACACTGGCATTTAAAGACAGTACAAAAACAGTGTAAACTGGCTCAGTAAGTGATCACATGTTGAAATGAGCATTCAGACACTGTTAAAGAAAACATCAGGCTTTTCCTTGTTTTGCTTTCAAACGTGGCTGTGAAAAATTACATCTGTGGCTCATATTAGTCTAGTCTATACTAATAGTGGGAGAAGGATGATTAAGGAGTCAAAATCTGAGCTAGACCTTGAGAGAATAGTAAACTGTGTCAGGGCAGTGGCACTGCACTCACCAACATTAAGTTATTGTTTTTCTTGCCCCCTGGCAATAAGGCACTTTTTAAGGGTTGTTTGTTTAAAGTCTTATTTCACGGTGGCACATTGTGTGTGTGTGTGTGTGTGTGTGTGTGTGTGTAGGCACACATCTACCACAGTGCACAGACGAAGGTCAGAGACAGCTTGCTGGAGTGGGTACTCTCCTGTCATCATGTGGATACCAGGGATTTGAACTTAGGGTCAACCAAACCACTGAGCTATCTTGTCAGCCCTGCCTTCAAAGACTTGAACAAGAGGTAATGTGTGTAGGGATGTTTTAGGTTAATATGGCAGTAGTGGTTTCATTGAGATGAAGGGAGGAAAAGCTGCAGAGAAAGAAAGAGAAACCAAATGTAAGGTGATGAGGCCTGACTGTTAGGTATTGAGGGTGGGAACAGAAGGGATGGTATGCATGCAGGTGCTCTGAGGAAGGAGCAACCAGAATTGATAGATGTCCCCGTAAAAGGAAAGAAGGGCCTCCAGCCTTGGTTACCAGGCTAATAACCAATTAACTGATAAAGAATTATAACATGCAGTGGAGACCAAAGAATTTAGTCTTAGAATAGAATCAGTGAAGTGGAGAGAAGTGTTTGAGTCTAATTAAGCGTTTCCCCTTTTTCTGTGTTTGTGTTCTATTAGTATTCAGTCATGCACATCTATTTTCCTTCAGTACAGAGTTGCCTGTATCATGCCTTCTTCCTCTTTGTTAGTGAATTTTAATTTAATCTTAAATGCTTCTTTACTGCCTGTAGAACTAGGCCCAAGGTATCCAGGGCTCTTCTGCTGGATCCTGTCCTGCTCATTTGGTCAGTCTGTGTTTCTTTGTAAGCGTGCCAGGATGGGTTTTTTTTCACTGCAAACCTCTAGCTTTAAGGTTTGTGTCTTAGCTAATGTCATTCTAATCTTTTGACTGTCTTCTTCTCTTTCTGCCCTGCCCTTATAAGTCTTTAATACGTAATCTTAATTCTTTTATTAACAGAGGCAATTGAGAATTTTTAAAATTCACTTATTAAACTGTATATGTAAACAGGTTATAACCAATTTGGCCCATTATTATATATTTATATGTTTTATTCTTTTAGTAAATTTCAATCCTTACAATTATGTTTCCCTTTTGTTAGATTTATTTTATGTGTATGAATGCCTATATGTATAGAGGTATGTACATATGTGTATATGTACGGTGCCTTTGGAGTCTGGGGCCTTGGATTCCCTGCAACTGCAGTTACAAATGAATGTGAACCACTATGTAGATACTGAGAACTGAACCCAGGTCCTCTATAAGAACAGCAAGTGCTCTTAACTACTGGCTGAATGCTTTTCTCCAACACCAGTGGTGTTTGTTTGTTTGTTTGTTTGTTTGTTTTTAAATGGAACATATAGGGCCAGGCATGATTGTACACACCTGGAATCTAGCACTTGGAAGGCTGAGGCAGAATAAAGCACCTGAGGCTATTTGGGCTGTATTGTCAGTTCCAGACCAACACAGCTTCATAGTGAGAACTTGTTTCAAGAAGCCTGTGCTACTTCTGCTGTTCATGATGCTGTAGAGAAAGACATAGAAATTAAAATGGCATAATTCTAAACAGAAGTAAATTACATTACATTCACGAACCTTTTTTTAAAAAAGATTTATAAAGAACTTCTGATTTTGTGTTTTAGCATATCTTGGAATGAGATATTAGTAAATAATATTTAATAAAGATACAGATAACCAGGAGGACCTAAAAGATACTTTTGGTCTGTTAAAGTCTAGGTCTTTCTTAAACATTTTAATGTGAACTTATTTGGTTATATCTGCAAGTACTTTGTATTTTGATTTCATAAAGCGAGAGCTGTAGTAGTACATTTAAAGAATTGGGCGTTTAGCTCAGTGCTAGAGCACTTTCTTAGCGTGCAAGGGACCCCAAGTTTGAGTTCAAGCACTGTCCCCCTCAAAATAGAAAATGCTTTAGGGGAGTATTGCCTAGATTCTCTTCAAAATTATATTTATAAACATTTTTGTAGAGTAGAAAATTAAGCCAGGCATCTCAAAAACAAACAAACAAACAAAGGGGAATTGGAGCCCCCACATTAGTGTAGAGCCCACGTTACCTGCTGAGCCATCTCCTTGACTTGCTAAAAGCTTCTTCTCATAAGTTTATACAAAACAGTGTTCAGATAACATCTAGTAGGTATCTCCATGTACATTGCACGGGGTGTATGCTGAGTGCCTACTTTGTGTCAGGTTTTGTTTTGGGAATTGCAAATATAAGGTACTGTCAGAGTTACCTGCAAACATTAAGGTAATTTTCAATCACAGTGTCACACAGGTATGCTGACGCTAAGCTTTCTGAAAAGCCTGTGCATCTCTGTGCGAGTATACATTTTGCATGTATGTTGAAGAGAAAAGAGGAACTGTGGTTTCTAAATGAGATTCTCAGGAGAGTTTATATTTAAGACAACTTGAATGAGAAAAAATGTGCAGCCTTATCATTGAACTAATGAAGAAAAACAGATTGGCTTTGAAGAGTCAGTTCTTAATTTACTACCACTTAATACTGAGCAATATGGGTATAGTGATCTGTGCTCTAAATAATTTCCACATTATCTGGAATCCTCCACTCAATTTTTAAACACATGCATGCTTGCACACTAGAACAGGGCACCAGATCTCATTATAGGTAGTTGTGAGAATTGAACTCGGGAACTCTGGAGACCAGACAGTGCTCTTAACCTCTGAGCCACCTCTCCAGCCCTCGCCCAGCCTTTTTATGTGTACATTAGTATTAATGTTAGCAGGGTATGGTGGTACATGCCTGTGATTCCAGCACTCGGAGAGGCAGAGGCAGGCAGATCACTGAGTTAGAGGCCAGCCTGGTCTACAGAGTGAGTCCAGGACAGCAAAGGCTACATAGAAACCTTGTATCAAAAAAACTGAAGGGAGGGGGGAAAAAAGGAAGGAAAGAAAGAAAAAGAAGGAAAAATACTTTATGAGATGGAGTCCCTAAGTGAGGAAAAGTTAGTTAACTTGTCCTGAATCATGTTGAAGTGGATTGAAATCTGGATCAATGATTCCAAAGTCCCGTACTTGGGAGGCTCTGAAGGATTCTGTAAACAAGGCTGAACTTTTAAATATGGCTGCTAACATGCTTTTAATCACTCTGGAATTTCTGTGCACTTAATTCTGAAATAATTTGCCTGTTATATGGACTGTCCATTTATGTTTATTTTTATTTTATTTGCAAGCACCTTTTAGATACCCATTACTGGACCAGAAAGATGACATCGATCATCAAATTAACCACCCTTTCTGGGGTCCAAGAAGAGTCTGCTCTTTGCTATCTCCTC